AAAGCGGTTCGGGAATAGTAATTTTCCTAAGAAGTGCGGAAAGTGATTCTTTCCCGCACGCGAATGCTGTTGACCCGGGCAAGCAGTCGAGTGCGGAAAGACACTTTCTGCATGAGTTAGGAACAATATTTTTTCTACAAGCGTAGCCAATTGATTGATTTGTTCAATCAATCATTCCTGCGAATAGGAACCACTAACAATAGTGATATATTCTCTATCTTCTTATAATTAGTAATATATCTATTGTGTGTAACGTTTGAAGCATTATGTAGATAAGCTCATTGTGGAAACCAGCATGCCCATAGTGTTTGGCATCTAGGTTTCAGACATTTCTAGGAAATGAGCCTAAAATACTTTTTCTTTATTTGGTGTTTTCACTTTTTTACTATTGCTTCATTCAATGAATCCCGTGTAGTGCTTCTCATACCTTTCTTAAGACTCCGTTGGCTCAAGTTTCGTTTAGCTGAAATCAGTTATGGCAAATTTGTTGCCATGGCGATGATCGTCATGGTAACGAGTAAACAAAAATCATATTCCTGTGGTGAGGAAATGCGTGGTTGCCAAGTTGTATCGGGTTTAGTATAGCTGAAATCAGTTGTGGAAAAACTGTTGCCATGGCAACGATCGTCATGATAACGAGTTGAGGAAATGCGTGGTTGCCAAATTGTATCGGGTTTAGTATAGCTGAAATCAGTTATGGAAAAACTGTTGCCATGGCGACGATCATCATGGTAACGAGTAAACAAAAATCATATTCTCGTGGTGAGGAAATGCTTGGTTACCAAGTTGCATCGGGTTTAGTATAGCTGAAATCAGTTATGGAAAAACTGTTGCCATGGCAACAATCGTCATGGTGAGGAGTAAACAAAAACCCGATTCCCGTGGTGAGGAAATGCGTGGTTGCCAAGTTGTAGAGGGTTTATAGTTTGGCTGAAATCAGTTATGGAAAAACTATTGCCATGGCAACGATCGTCATGGTAACGAGTGAACAAAAATCCGATTTTCGTGGTGAGGAAATGCGTGGTTGGCAAAATGTATCGGAGAATTATTGCTTCATTCATTAATTTCAAAAACACTCTTCAATGTAACCATCCTTTGCGCGCCGCGCTATTCGACAAAATCAAAAAGAAACAGAGCCATTTTGGGAGATTCATTACGAGGTATCACGCAGGATATAGAAAGAGAGACTACAGGTACTGATTGTCTAATACAGATGGAAACATCTCGTTAGGCCCACCCACTTTTCCATTTGCCTTCATTTCGATTCACCCATACCTTCCTTCACGCGCACATTTTGATTCAGCAACAGTCTTCAAACATACACTAACGATGCCTTGCTACCAAATCTAAACGATGTTGGAAAATATAATATAAGGGAAACTGCCGCCAGACATTCCACCCGTTGAGAGTCGAATGCCCGAAATCGTCTTCCGTCAACGCACTATCAGACGAATTTTGCTTGGTCTCAAAACGAATAAGGCTAACGGTCCTGATGGAATTCCACCCATTATCCTCAAATAATGTGCACCAGAATTAACACCGATTCTCTGCAAGTTGTTCACCATCTCGTACAGGTCGGGAACAAACAACCTAGTTGAATTCAACGCCACCAAAACTCAAGCCTGCATTTTCTCTAGAAAGGCGGAACTCAGTATGCCCGATATTGTAATGTCTGGCTCCACCATCTCCACCAAGCCCACCATATCTATGCTCGGTATTTCCATCAGCAACACTCTTTCATGGGATAATCATGTCAGATCCATCGCAAAAGCTGCTTCACAAAAACTCGGATTCTTGTTCCGTGCGAAAAGCTACTTTACACCTCAACAGCTTCTCATGATCTACAAAGCGCAAATACGGCCTGTTCTAGAATACTGTTCCCACATATGGGGTTCAGCACCAAAACATACACTGATGCTCTTAGATTCCATCCAGAGAAGAGCCATTCGCCTGGTGGGTGACGCCACACTCACTCACTCTTTGACATCATTGGAACACCGTAGAAAGGTCGGCGACCTTTCACTTTTCTATCGATACTTCCACGGGAAATGTTCTTCGGAAATTTCTGCTATCATCCCTTCACTAGCTATACCAATCAGACGAACTAGACAAGCCCAGTCAGCACATCCTTTCGTTGTCAACCTCGAAAGATGTCGAACAGCACTTTATCAAGACTCCTTCATCCATAGAACGGCTAGGCTCTGGAATTCATTGCCTGTGGAAGTATTCCCAACAACATATAATCTCCAAAAGTTCAAAAAAAATTCTAATACCTACCTCCTGTCCCTATCCTCCCTAGGAACGCACGATGTTCTTTGAACATTATAGGGATTCCCTTTCGTGCGCTCCAAGCGATAAAAAAAAAAAAAGAAGAAGGTTGATTTAAGTCGAGTTAGGTTAGATCGTTCGGAAAAAGTAGTGTCCTCTTTTATGCAGTCTTCATTTCCTCACCACGGGAATCGGATTTTAGTTTACTCGTTACCATGACGATCGTTGCCATGGCAATAGTTTTTCCATAACTGATTTCAGCCAAACTAAACCAGATACAACTTGGCAACCACGCATTTCCTCACCACAGGAATCGGGTTTTTGTTTACTCCCTACCATGACGATCGTTGCCATGGCAACAGTTTTTCCATAACTGATTCCAGCTATACTAAACCCGATACAATAACTTGGCAACCATGCATTTCCTCACCACGGGATTTTGTTTTTCTGTTTATCTGTTACCATGACAACGGTTGCCATGGCAACAAATTTTCCATATCTGATTTCAGCTAGACGCAACTTGAACCACTCCTCCTGTAGCTGGAAATTTTTCATCGCAATTTCACTGAATCGAAAATGACAGTATCGCTCTGTCTGTCACTCTGAGAATTACACTAATTTATGTTTTGATTGACATGACAACAATTGTTTCCCACATCAGATCAATGAAACGCTATAGGAGGTTCATATTAACAATCAATTATTATTTTTCAATATTTCTTTATTTTCACAATAAATAGTGCAATTTGATGTATGACTTCCACTCTGGATTCATCGGGAAAACAACCTCCAAACATTACGTCAATTGACAGTCATATGCCCGAGATCACCTTTCGCCAACGTACTATAAGCAAGATTTTATTGGGTCTCAACACCAACAAAGCTTGTGGCTCCGACGGAATCCCACCGATTGTTCTCAAGAAATGTGCTCCCGAACTAACACCTGTTCTCTGCAAGTTGTTCATCTACTCTTACAAATTGGGGATATTCCCGTCCTACTGGAAAACTGCAAGGGTACAACCAGTTTCTAAACAAGGCAAAAAGACCCTACCTAGCAACTATATATACAGACCGATCGCACTGCTATCTATTATTTCAAAGATCATGGAGAAAGCTATCAACATCGAGCTCATGAAATACCTGGAACATTCAGGTATTATCAGCAATATGGCTTCTGTCATCAGAGATCAACTGGTGACCTGCTCGCTTACGTCTCCCATATATGGCAGCAATCTATTGAAAAATATGCTGAAACCTCAGCCGTGGCACTTGATATCTCCAAGGCAACATGAATATGGACTTCAATGCAAACAAAACACAAGCATGCCTTTACTCTAGAAAAGCCGATCTCACACTGTGCCCAAACATAAGCTTGTCAGGAGTAACCATACCTTTGAAGACATCCATTTCGATATCAGCAATAACCTTCCTTTGGAAAATCACGGGAGATCAATTGCTAAAAGTGCATCCCAAAAACATGGTTTTCTGTTTCGGGCCAGGAACTATTTCACTTCCAGTCAGCTGCTTATCATCTATAAGGCACAGATCCGATCTGTCGTGGAATACTGCTCCATATCTGGAGTACAGCACCCAAACATACCCTGAAACTGTTGGATTCTGTCCAAAACAATGCAATTCGTCTCGTGGGTGATGCCTCGCTCACAAACTCACTCACTTCTCTGGAACACCGTAGAAAAGTTAGCGATCTGGCTCTATTTTATAGATATTTCCATGGATGGTGCTGTTCTGAAATATCAACAATTGTTCCTCCCTTGGCAGTCCCCGCGTGATTAATCCGTCGAGTTGAGGCTTCGCACCCCTTCGTGGTCACATTGGAACATGAAGAACAACTATTTCCAAAGACTCGTTCATCCAACGAACAGCGAGGCTCTGGAACACATTGCCAAGGGAGGTGTTCCCCGAGGCATATAACTTCCAGAAATTTAAGAAGAAGACCAATTCCCATCTTATTTCTCTTGGTTCTCACGATGTTCTCTGAACATTACAGGATATCCCTTCTCGTGGGAACCAGAACATAAAACACCAACACCTCCAGAATCGGATCCTTCAGGATACCAGCCTTCCACCAAACGACCAAAGAATAATGATATAAAAAATAAGAACATAATTTCATTTGAAATTATTTGTAGGTATTTCAACAAATCCCAACATCTCCAGCGAGATCTCCAGTCCACGAATTACCTGTATCTACTTTCAACGTTGTGGTTGAATGTCAATTGAAATTAAATGTTCAACAACTCAGTCAAGAATATAGAAACATAGACCCTCTTGATTATACCCAAGTACTTACATGCTTCTACATAGGCCAAAAATTCGTTTCAGAATGAAAAGTACGCATTTTCTTTGGCAAAAATCTGTTTCATAATAAAAGTCCGTGCTGAAATGAACGCTTTATTAATGAATCGGTTAGCAGATATTCATTCAATTTGCGAATTATTTTAATTTTAATCAAATTTGTATCATTCACCTTTTTCAAGATACCACTCAATAATAGGTAGATATGAAAAAAGGAATATGCAGTTGAACACGTATTACGTGTCCGCATCACTATCATGAAATATCACGCATATATACCTAGCTAACTATATGATTATGATTATTAATTAGGAACTCTCCAATTTTCGAAATTGCGCGTATTATTATGGGATCTAATAATAGTAAAACGCATTAAAATGAATTATAAAATATAACTCCCTCATTCAGTATCAAACCAGCTATATGAGTGGAATAATAGTGAACTCATAAGAAACTAATATCCTCAATTTATTTTGTAAAAATCAGAAAAAAAAAGATCAATTCAAGGCAATATCATGATCCATTCGTTATGACATTTCCGTAATACTGTGCTAAAAATCAAATAATCTAACCTACTTACTAACCACTTGATCTAAATTTGAAGCGATCTGCGTGAAACGAATATATTTTCAGTAAGTAACAAGAATTCCTGTGTTCAGTGTTGATGTGTTTTTTTGTATCTCCGTGAAATATGGATACAACACACGAAGAAAACATAGAAGACCATTCTTGCCCAAGCCGAGATGCTGAAGGTCCTAATGTCAGGTGCAGTGCTGAAAGGTCCAAGAAAAACTCCAACTATGCAAAAGTGCCAAATAAATCGGCTGACGTGAAAAATAATAAAAGGCTGATGAACTATTTCCGGGAATATTGTGAATACACGGGAATCCATGGATTCAGATATATCGGAGAAAATAGAACGTTATTAGAGAGGTACGTACACAGATATCAAGTACCAAAGTATCATGTGAAAATCTGAAATCGTTCACCTCACGATAACAAGAGTTGTGAAAGGTATATTACGCACAAGTGCGTAATTGCTTCACAACTCGGGAAATGTACTATACTTTTTCTACGACTACACTAAAAGGTACAAATTACAATCTTCGTATTTGTTGGTTGGTGAAATGCATGGAGACCTTTTAACCTCAATTTGAACTGAATTGGAGTCGTTTTTTATATCTCAACAACTCTATCAATGACAAAAAACACATTTGATAGACAAATAATATTTTATAACTAATGGTTATTCATACCCATACTGTGCAGTTGTTGAAAGTGACAGAATATTTTCCGAAAATAACATGCTATTATTCATAGATAATTTTTTATTACTGATTAGGTATCATTCACGAGGATCAACAGGTAGAAACTCATTTGTTGCCATTTTTGCTCTTGTAGTAGAAATAATTTAATCGTCATCGCTCGACATTTTTCATCTGGAATTGAGATATGTCAACAGAAAATGATCATTTCCAGAAAATATTAGGTGCGTTTTATTGGAAATATTCTTCCACAGGAATGACAATTCATGTCGTTTCATTGAACGAAATTCTGAAACTGGTTCAAACTTTTCATTCCGTCTTCTCATACGGAATGACAGGAAGACGATTGTGGAGGGAGTGTATGAAATGGCGGAAATGGCGGTATTTCAGATACTCTGACCTCGAAATCTGACTTAGAAATTGCCTAAAAGTGAACTCGCCTCAGGAAATATTTTGGAATACTTTCATTTGCGGTAGGTATTACTTCTTCATAATAATTTTGAATTTTTGGTATGATAATGCTAGAGAATTTGAAAGTATAACATAAATTCAGTAAATTATTCCTGTAGATAACATCAGAAGATTCATACAAGTATAGAACCCTCTCTAGTATTAAGGGGTCAATTTCATCTATGAATATCAATGTATTTTGCCTTCTGATCTATATAGGTACTTCTACTAATAAGGAGGATAACAAGAAAGCGTGAACAAGATCCATTATTGGACCATTATAAATTATAATTATAATTATGTACCGATGAACAGCAACATCCCAAAATTATATTATCATTATATACCCTGAAAAATTAGCTGACTGTCACTGACTGTATTGGTCATCAATTCTACTGCCACCAGTGGGAAACCAAAAAACGCACCTAATACTTGCCTGTTTTCGGTTTCGATTGATAACTTGATTTATTGATGAAAAGATAAGTACCTACCTAGCTACTGATATCAACTGAAAATCGCCTGACCGACAGAACATAGTCATAAATCAACATACCTATGAAAACCGTGCGATTGCTGGCTTTACGCACATGTGCGTAAGGAGAAGCGTATAGTGACATTGTTTGTTCACAATATTCATCACTTACAATAGTAGTCGTAGTCGAAGAAGACAGAATTGAAATTGAAAAATATCAACAGAAAATGATCATTTACTTGGGCTTAGTGACATTGTTTTGTTCACAATTTTCATCACTCACAATTAATAGTAGTCGTAGTCAAAAATGATAGGAAAACAGAATTGAGATTGTAAAATATCAACAGAAAACGATAATTTCAAAAAAATATTACTTGCCTGCTTTCGGTTTCGTTGGTATTGGTATTGGTATTGGTAGGTTGGATGGTGACAGATGCGCTGCGACCTAATTAGATCTATTGTGCCCCATCTGCTCCTGCTATATCAAGGATTTCTTGTTTATAGCAGCCCCTCGAGATTCAATTCCTTCAGGAATTCGAGGATTTTGAGGGGGTCCAGCTGTGGTATTTCTTCCACAGTCAGCTGGTGTGTTCCCAGTATGTTCAATCTTTTGTGATGTACAGCGTCACACTCCATCAGTATGTGATGGGGTGTTTCTGGTTCTTCCTCACAGAATCTGCAGGTGCCGTCCTCCTGTAAGCCTAGCTTCCTTAGGTGTTCTTTGAGTCTGCAATGCCCCGTTAGAAATCCCGTTATTGCTTTTAGACTTCCTTTGCTGAGGTTTGTCAGTGTCTTAGATATTTCTCGAATGAAATTAACAAGGAGATCTTTAGCCTGCCGTAGTCCTGGAAGTCTTCTCCATTGTCTGGCTCTCCAGGCTCCTTTTGCCTTCTCAAGTTGGCTCTGGCTCTGGTCCGATCAGTGGCGTTGAAGCCCCTTGTCCTGTCAGAGTGTCTGCTTGTTCATTCTCCTCTACTCCAATATGCCCTGGCACCCAGAGGAGGATCACTTTATTGTCGCTGCCTAGCTCATTCAATTTGCTTAGGCATTTCCATACCATCTTCGAGTTGATGTAAGGAGAGCTCAACGCTTTGATGACTGCTTGGCTATCGGATAAAATCGCGATGTCCTTCTTCCGGTATTTCCTGTCTAGGTTGAACTGGATGCATCTTTCTATAGCGTGTATTTCCGCATGAAAAATGCTGGGGAATTGTCCCATGGATTTGAAGTATTTGAGGCGAGGCCCAAAGACTCCTGCTCCAGTTTCCTCGGGTGTTTTAGACCCGTCCGTATACCAAGTAATGGTGTTTCTTCCTAGTGATTCGATGGATTCTATGCTCCATTCGCGCTTGTTGCTCAGCTCCACTCGGAAGTTCTTCTCAAAACTGAACTTCCTAATGATTTGGTCTGATGGGAGATCGGCGAGGTGTGCAATCTCAGTGGGGGGTGAGCCCCTTGCACTGTGCGTTTTCCCCCTTAGTCCGACCTTGGCTAACCTGAGATGTGATCCATAGGCAGTTCTCCTCACCACGATGTGTAGAGGTGTGAGATCCAAAATGACCTCTAGTGCTGCTGTTGGAGCTGATCTCATTGCTCCTGTTATGCAGAGACATGCCAATCTTTGCACCTTCTCTAATATTTTCCTTGTAGTGACGAGTTCGGTTCTGCCGTGCCACACTACTGCTCCGTAGGTGATCATTGGTCTCACTAGCATGGTGTACATCCATCGCAGTATTGATGGGTTACACCCCCGCGTTTTGCCTGCAAGGTTCCTGCACACCATCAGTGATGATTTTGCCTTACTGGCGATCTTTTCTACGTGTCTATTCCAGAGAAGCTTTGAGTCTAGGATGAGCCCTAGATACTTCACTTCTTGCTGCCATTCTAGGTCTGCTCCGTCTAGACGGACGACTCTCAAGTGTTGAACTTTCGTTCTTCTAGTAAAAGGTACCAATGTGGTTTTCGTTGAGTTAATTCTCAACCCCAACGAATGGCACCATCTTCTGGTAGTCTCTAGCTCTCTCTCTATGAGGTCGCAGAGGGTCCCTTCAAATTTGTCAAAGCAAGTTACTCCGTTTATCATTTATCAACATACCTATGAGAACCGTGCGATCGCTCGCTTTACGCATATGTGCGTGTGGAGAAGCTTAGTGACATTGTTTTGTTCACAATATTCATCACTCACAATAGTAGTCGTAGTCGAAGATGATAGAAAAACAGAATTCAAGAGATGAACAGTACCTACCAGGCAGAAAACATACCTTTATACAGGATTCATCACGTCACCCGCTTAGCACCTCAGTCTTCAACTGACACTCGTGCTGTACATTTTGGTACTCCAAGAGTCTGTCCTGGATCTTGCTCGTTGTCTGACCATTTTCTTGCAAGTTCGTCAGCCTTCTCATTGCTCCTCTTTTGTTCTGACACCCATATCAGCTTGACGCAGTTCTGGTCTGTCAAAGTTTTCAGTTCCCTCTTGCAATCCCATACCAGTCGAGATGTCACTTCCTGGCTTTCTATTGCCCTCAGTGCCGCTTGACTGTCTAACATAATGCGGATCTGCTCATTTTTCACGGCTCTCCTGTTATTTTTTTCCACACATTGGAGAATTGCGTACACTTCTGCCTTGAAAACTGAGGCATACTTCCCCAATAAGTAGCTGAGGCTAATCTCTAGATGTTTGGAGTATACTCTGGCTGCTGACCCATTGGCAGTCTTAGATCCTTCTGTATATCAGATCTTTATTCACTCTGAATGAAGTGTCAAATATATATCGCTTCGAAATCTAATCTGTTCTCATATCAATTGCTTGTTATCGAGAAGGGCATACTCATTATTGACTACATCTAGGAGGTCTGCTTTTCGTCTGTTTTCAGTACCTTATCAAGGTTCCTCTTTGCTGGTGGGTACTATAAAAAAAATGGTGTGGAAATAAGTGATATCAATTTTTAGATGTCTCATGTGTGTTCTGCAAATTTTAAAAAATCCATACTTTCTCAAAACACATGTATCTTGGCGTGAATCGAAATCCATTGTGTTGATAAGGGATCACACTCTACTTACTTTTGCCACAGGGCGTTAAGAATTTAAGCGTAAAATAGTGAGGTATGGTTTTTCCTGTTCATCTTTCTTTGGCAACTTGAATTCAGGTTAATATTCCAAAACGTCAGTGTATGATGTGGTTGGAATTTCACTAAAATCGGACAAGAAAAAAGAAAGTTACAGGGCGACTAATTTGGTTGATTTTTCTGGTGGCTGTTTTTTTGCCGGTGTGTGTGTGTATATGATAGTTCAACACCCAAACATGCGCTGATGCTTTCGAATTCCTTTCAGAGGCGAGACATTTGCATAGTTCTAGTTGGTAATGCCAGACTCACTATTTCTTTGACTCCGTCGGAATACTGCAGGATAGTTAGCGAACATTCACGTTTTTATTTACAGGGTCCAGCTGATTTAATAGGTACATTATTGCTATTTATCAGAAGGACAAAAATGATTGAATTAGACAAAATTTGCGGGATTTGAACATCTTGAATGTGACGGTTTGCAATTTAAAAACTGTCAGTCATTCCTGGAATATTTTGGTAGAACTAAAAATTTCGCGTTTTATTTTTTAGTTGATATTAGAGGAAGAGATTCGAAATTGTGTGTAAGCAGGTAATTGATCATGACGAAGAAGTTGGGATTGTCAAAAATATTCTATCATAATTTTTTCCGAGAATACAAATTTGTTGTTAAATAATCAAGATGTTATTACCAATAACTATTACTGAAGGTTCTTATTTAGTCTTAGACTTGGTCTTGACGTGAGTTCTAGTTCAGTTATTTTTTTTTTGTAATAAAATATTGTTACCTATTCCGATTTGACGGGATTCAGATGACAATTGAAGAATTAATATTAACAGCCTCCGTCCGTTAAGATTGTTTAACGGTCGGCTGCCGTTATAATATAATTGTGATATTGTTAAACTGTTCCATGACAACACCATGTGTGTATGTGGTTTGTTCTTTCTTCGGAATCAGAATGTGATCTTTCAGCGGAATTACGAAAAGTCTTGAACGACACACTGTCACAATGGTCGCAAATAACGGATTTGATTGTTATAAACCTCGGTTGCGCTCGGATCACAATATTTAACCTCATCCGTTATTTGCTACACATCGGCCTTGTAACGATAATAACTATAAGAAAATATTAACTATGTTTTATCAATATCCATTGAGTCGTTCTCAATATTTGATGGTAAATTTGTGAATAAATTACTCATCCTCAAACATTGAATTCAATATCAGAATTCATTCTATGAATGTGGAAATCATCAGATATATGATTCTTAAGGCAAGTGAATTTGACGTAAACGCATCTTGATTATTGAACGAAAAATTTATGTCCTTGGTTTTTCTATGCCCTTTCCTCCTTTTTGCATAATAATGTATCGTTGTAGCGTGTTATACATGGCTATAAAGAAGTATGTCAAGTATTGATACTTAATTGTAGTCATGACAGTTGATATTTTGTATTCAGTTTTTAATGTTTTTTAGAGCTCTCTCATGTAAAATATCAACATGTTATACATGGCTGTGAAGTGAATTTTCAGCTCTATTCAATAGTATGAAAAACAAATATGGCCCCGATAAGAAAAACGAATGTTGCATGGTGAATCTCTGGAAATAATAAAGATGAAATATTTCTGAAAATTCCAACTTATAACTGTCATGATTAATCACCTGCTTTCACGAAATTACGAATTTCTCCCTCAAATATAAACCAGGAGAATAAACAAAGACAGAATCAGTGATTTTCAGTTTTTTCAAAATATTTCAGGAATGGCTGATATTTTTCCAAATTGCAAAACTTTCAATTGAAGAGGTTCAAATTACGCAATTTTTTTCTAATTTAATCAACTTGATATCCCTTACCGTTTAGGAATTAGCAATGCCTATTTAATCAATGGAAATCTACTTCAGATGATAATTCCCACACTCTAGGAACCTCCGATGTTTCACGAACATAATGAGGATCCTATTTTCATGCGTTCCAAGATTTTGAGAAAATATTAGTGTGAAATATTCCACATCGAGAATATGAGTGTCAACTGGTAAAAGGGCATCGTTTTGTTCTTTCATCATTCTTGGCGATTTGAATTCAGTACACAATTCCAATATACCTACACGTTTTTTCCAGGATATGGTGGATCATATCTTTGGTTGTGGCAGTTATGTTCTGTGGAGTAATGATATACGAAATATTCCAAAAATACATAAGTTTTCCAGTACTCGTCACCTTTTCCATGCAGGAAACTCATTTGCAAAAAATGCCGTTTCCTGCAGTAACAATATGCCCTAGGGCAAAAATTTCTGCGAGTTACTTGAATCTAACGGATATTTTCCAGAAAAAGTTTGAGGGATTACCTGTTACCATTGAGGAGTGAGTATATGATTGAAGTATTTTGAGAATCCTATTTCACACCGATTGAGATGTTGTAGGGAGAAAAAATTGGACTTAGCCTCAACATTTTGTGATTTTTATGCTGGTAATAAGACGAAAGGTCTTGTTGAAGGGAAGGATTTCTACGAGTTTGTTGAAAAGGTAATTATTGCAGTTCAGGAGAATATTTATGATTTATATAGAATATTTTCCAGAGTAGAGCATACTTCTTCCATTATTGCCAATACTTGGGAAATGTAGTTGACTGTTATGATGTTTTTACTCCTGTATTAACAGAAGAAGGGATTTGTTATTCGTATAACATTCTGAATAAGAAGGATATATTTCGAGATAACGTCCAGTAAGTTGAATTTTTTCAAACTAAATACAGCGAGTACTTGGTACCATACACTAATTTGAACACTTATTTCTACCGAAGGGCATTTTACGTACTTAACACCTTCAAATAACTATGAATTCCTTTTTATACTTATAAAACAACTTGATTGCATTTATGCCCCCTTAACACTTACATGGTGCAACCTATTGTTGACATTGATATCAATTCCATTTGTCTCATATTTATACAGGGTGATTCACGGTGGATGGCCTATTAGAATAAGTATCTGGAGAACGAAAAGACTACTACAAAGAAAGATAAAAGATGGACTCCTACCAGAGATTAATATTATATCATTTTATTGAAAAAAATCCAATAATGTAATCTAAATACTTAGAGAAATTACAAAAAGTATTTTTCTATTTCTCAGCTGATACAAGACTATCACGTATCCCATAAAAAGCATACATATAAAGATGAATACAATAAACTAGAGCATATATAAGATCAGCTGATTATAATATTTGGTAGGAAAAAAAAGTAAGTTAGTTCACCCCTAAAGGTTTGATAAAAATTACACGTTCTACAAGAGAATATTAAGTATCTGGGTAATATTTCTTCAATTTGTAATGACATGATTTACTAAGTTATTTATTGAAGTATATGTACGCCGATGACACCCAATTATATAATTTCTTCAACAAATATGATGCAGCAGAATCTCAAGATGACATCAATAAAGACTTGGCATCTATTATAGATTTGTCGAAGAAGCATGATTTAGAAATCAACACAACAAAGTCGTCAGTTATATCCTTTGGTGACATATCTCCAAATTACTTGTCTATCAAAATTGATGATGTACCCTTGAAAATTACCTCTGAAGATAAGAATCTTGGAGTGATTATAGACAATAAGTTGAGATTTACTAAACATATTTCAATGATACTCAAGAAAGCATTTGCAAAACTGAAGATATTGTATCCGTATAGGCACCTAATGACCAATAAACTGAAAAGTTCCTTATGTGACTCATTAATTCTATCGCAAGTAAATTATTGTGATTATGTTTATGGCCCTTGTCTGACTGGTGCGGATAGTACGAGATTACAAAAACTCCAAAATTCTTGTCTAAGATTAATTCATGGAATTCGAAAATTTGATCCGGTTAGCCATACTTTGGTTACTAATCGATGGTTGAATATGGCAAACAGACGGAGATTGCACTGCCTTACACTGTTTCACAAAATCATTAAGAATGGTACTCCTTCATACCTAACAAACAAAATTAGATTTCGATCGGATGTACACAACATTAATATCCGGAGGCGGGAACATTTAACAGTTCCTCAACATAGAACATCACTTTTTCAGAGATCCTTCCAATATAATATATCCTGCCATTACAATAACCTCCCAACAGATTACAAAACGATGTCCTTGACAAAATTCAAAAAGACAGTTTTTGAAATGCTCTTTCACGATCAAAGCCGAAGCAGATAATTTAAACAATGTTTCAGGAAACTGCGAGTTAACTATAGAAATGAAATAATCAAAATTAAATAATAGAAATATATATATATATATTTATATATATCTGATTTCGTTATCAATATTTTTGTTTCTCTTATGCTTTTTAGGAACTCCATAATTTTCATCAATTATATAGGTATATTATTATTTATATATATTATATAATTATTAATATTATTTTTAGTTCAAAAATTTATTATGATTGTTAATAATATTATTTATTATTCTTATTTTTATCATTATTATCAGAGGGGATCTTGCCAGGAAATGAGGTCAAATACTACTTTAATTTATTACAAGGGCCCTTGAGGAAGAACAGTTTAACTGATCTTGCGCCTTTTAACCAGCACCATTTTGTACTTGAATTAGTATTTTGTTTTGACAATTAGTCTACATTGTTCGTATCTGTTGGTTAATAAAGACACTATTATTATTATTATTATTATTATTATATAGATATCAGCATCGATATTTTTATTAACATGATGAATAAGTTGTTAGGTACATAATTAGAGATCCGATTGGCATGTTGCCACATACAAAATAACATGACATGGGTAATAAATTATCGGTTTATGGAGAACATCTTACTGTGAATTCATCATTATTAATACATTTATTTTCATGTACTTCACTCCTACATACCTATAATTGAATCAGTCCCAAGATATTACATGCAAGATGTTGTTCATGTGACGATAAATAGCTAGTAAAACGATTCTATTGAAATTTTCAGTTATCTGGATTTGAAGAAGAATCATAAATTACTACTAGCCATTTAGTGATTTTGACAAAATCATGAAATTTTTTCAAAAATAGTATTGAAGTATAAGTGGATCTTATGATGAAATTGAATGAATTCGAAATAATTTGAACTGAAATATACAAAATTAACCATAAGGGTGCAAGAATGTGAAAAATATTTTTTTCATTGACTATGAGCAGGTAATGATGATTTTCAAAATTTGTGAAAAGATGCAGCATGAGGCGCTCATGGAATATGCCGCGAGAATAATTTGAAATAGGTGTTTTCTTTTTAGTAATTTGACATATCTATCATCAATCTGCATTGATACTGAAAATGTTACCAAAATAATGGTTCATGGAATACCAAACGAGAGCTCGACAAATTATAAAATAATGCTACATCAGATCCTTCCTCAAATTTTTTCGCCTGAAAATAAGTTTTCGAACATATTTTTTGTCACTTTATTCACTTTATTCTCACTCTGTATCAGAATTTACCTAATGATAATATCAATATACCTGATACTCACCCAGCCACCAACATCAATAACACTAATTTTGTCACCACCTTACCTTATTTTAAGGAACTAGCTCCTAAATTGTCAAGAATATTCTCGTCCATCCCGCAAATATTGACATAAAAACTGCCTACAGAACTGTTTTACCAATTAAATAATTTTTTTTTAAAACCCAAAGGATAAAGTCCCTCTTACATCTCAATCGCATGTGATTTATTGTATACCTAGTCAGGATTGTGACAAAAAATATATTAGCCAATCTAAACGGTCCATTCCCGAATGTCCCGAACCAAAAATAAGTGTCCTTGGGACGTCCCATCCCGTACATCTCATGCAATGTCCGAGCAAGGATGTCCACGGAATGTCCCAGCTGGTACATCATTTCAAATGTCCTAGAAATGGCATCCCTTAGACGTCCCACGTGGTACATATTGTAGAATGCCCATGCAAGGACGTCCTTGGCATGTCCCTGATAAGATATGATTTTAAGAGTTCCTTTAGGGACATCCATCGGATGTCCCTAGTAGTACATATACTGGCATGACTTCAGATCTTATATAATGTCCCTTCTAGACAACCATGAAATGACCCTGATGGTACATTCCTTCAAATATCTCTGCACAGGCGCCCTTAATATTTCCAGGATCGTATAACAATCGAAATGTCCCTTAGGGACGTCCTCCTAATGTCCGTCGGATGTTTCAATTGGTACATAGACTGTACTCTTCCAATGTCCTAGAAATAACGTCCTATGGACGTCCTAGTCGGTACTTTCAAAATGTTGTCCCTGCGAGGACGTTAACTTACACCTCGCCGACGAATGATTGCTCGTAGGCTATAAGTACTCCTCGTCAATGTCCTTCACGTGAGTCCATTAGACATCCTTGGGAAACTTTTTGGGGACCTTTTACGGACCATCAACTCAAGTGGATGTCCTAATCAGTTATGCAAGATCTGGTCCTAAAGGGACCCAGACAAATTCAAATTCGAGAATAATTCGTACGTCCCTGGAACATCCTATGGACATCCAATTGATATCCCTCAGCGTTGATGATAGGTTGTCCTATGGATGTCCCAAGGACGTCCTCTGTAGTGCTTGATGAGGAATACTGTAGGATTTAGGTATTCGATAGTTGTCCCAGGGACGTCCCTCAAGGACGTCCCTAGTTGGGACATTTGTGCGTCCCACAGACGTCCAATGGACGTCCACGGTACCAAATTCGAACGTCCTATGGACGTCCTGAATGTCCCGACAGGACGTCCTAAGGATATCCATGGGACATAAGTGTGTTATTAGGGTTTCCAATAGAATAACTTTCCACAAGAGTGACAGTAGGCTGCATCCTGAGAGATGTGCTTTGGCTTGTCATGTCAATGAATTTGATCACAAAATGAGCTATGAATCTGTGTCAATTTTAGCAAAGGAGAGTTACTACACTAAAAGGATTTTTCTAGAAATGGCCTTCATTTCTCAAGAACCAAAGTGCATTAATAAAAAAACTGACGTAGATCACTTAAGTGAAATTTATGCATACCTGTTGTCAGTTGACTATGACTCAACACAACTTGAAAATCAAATTTAACCCACACTTCAAAAAAATAAAATTATCCTGGGAATTCACAGAAACAACAAATACATTTTCTCTCATAAAATTCATCTTTTTTACTAAAAATTGAATAAAATTATAAACCATAATTGACAAAAGTCAAATTGTTAGGAGGATTAATATATCTCTTCTGCTCCTTCAGTTTTATGGTTTTTGACTGAATATTGCAAATTCACATTGTGGCTATGGTACCTTTTCCATCTATCAATTTTTCACAAATATTCAGTCATGAAGTAATGATCGAAATAGAAGAAGATTAAACTTGACCTATTACATCACTAGTACTTGCCGCTTAAATGATGATTTTTCCACATGTTCTCACATTTTCAACATTTTACAAATTAACTAATTGCACACAATTGTCATTGATCCATTTTTGTATTTTTAAGATTTCCATTCCAAGATTTTCATGACGCACCATCATTGAAGCAATGGAACATTGAGGAGGGATATACGGTACGGGAAGTTGACACGTATCCAAAACGAGCTCTACGTATAGGGGCAAAAGGAGCATTGCTGGTGGTCATGAAAACTCATGTGTCTGATATTGAATATGAATGTGCAAGTGATGAATCTGGATATCGGGTATGTTATAAAAAAAAAATAGATAGATGAACATGAACTGGGATCATAACTAAAAGATCTGAGAGAAATATTCAGCGGAAATAAAGCCGTACTGTTTCGGTCTGTCAGGCCTCATCAGCTGCTTTCCGTCTGCGGACAATTGAAACGATTCTATTCTCACGTATATCTTGTGCATTATATGGAATATCATGCTGGATCTTCAGTATTCATGCATGTTTTGTCTATATACATAGGTATTGTATAAAATATATGTATATAACCATCTTTTTGAAGAAATTCGTACTGTTTTGTTCCTGGACATCTACGCGATATTCATACCTCAGAATGAATATATTATGAGAGATATTCTACGGATCGCTATAGAATATCCGAAGCAAAAACCTGGAAGCCACAGAGAAATGTTTTCTCCATAAATCTGTTTCCGAAAATTGTCATTCTCTAAGATGTGATCTCTGTTATGTTTTTTTTTGATTATTTTCAAAATTAGTAATACTATGTCATCATCTTTATGTTCACTTCGAATGCATTTTTGATTTTTGGTATATTATGTGTTATTTTATAGTTGATTTCTCTAGTGATTCCAAGTAGAAGAGTTCATTTGAACATATATATGTCCGGAAATACACAGTTTTCAAGATACATGGTGTGGAAGATTTCAAAACATATCGTTCATCCATGAATATCGCAAATATCTCTGATCGAATTTTGTTGAGATATTGCAGTGTTATTTATAGTAGTAAGATACCAATTAAGCCATTATAAGTTATATGCTCGGAGCCATAGTCATATGGACTTTCCGTCTCAGAATCACTAGAAAATTCGCCGCTTGAAGTTTGGCCACTTACTCGAATGACAACCTGTATATAATTCCAATACAGTTTCATATCCAGAATATTAAATTTTTTTTCAGATTATTTTCAAGATTTTGAATATCATAACTAAAGTTAAAGTGAAGTTGGGGATTATGGAATATATCTGGTAATATGGAATACCCTATTTTTGAGAAACCGACAAACACAAACTCCATTTATTGCAATTTGTTATAGTACAGGGTGAGTCATTAGTGTGGCAAAGTGAGATAACGGCTTTACTGTTTGAGATAGATGAACAAAAATTTCAAAGATGATCTAAGATCATGAGCAGCATATTTCTATATTATTTCGCTTTATACAAGGTGACTCAGAAATGCGTGGCGTATCAAAGTTGTACTTTTTCTTATGGGACACCCTGTATTTCATTGCATTTTCGCATTCTCCTTTGTGAGCTGATTTCATCAATGCATCACACTTGGGGTCTAGGGGCGTCTAGCAAGAATGATCACAGAGATAAAGGGTATTCAAAATCAAGATTTTTCAAATTTAGGATTTTTTTGCGTCGAAACTATTCATTATTGGTCAAACCGGCTTCCATGTCCCTATCCTAACTCTTGATTTACTATCTACTGACATTTAATTGAAACAGATACAAGGGTGATCAGAATGCTGAATCTTGAACCACCCTGTATTTGTTTCAATTAAATGTCAGTAGATAGTAAATCAAAAGTTAGAACAGGGACATGAAAGCCGTTTTGACCAATAATGAATATTTTCGACGCAAAAACATCCTAAAATTGAAAATACTCGATTTTGAACACCCTATATCTCTGTAATCATTCTCGCTAGACCCCAAGTGTGATGCATTGATAAAATCAGCTCACGAAGGAGAATGCGAAAATGCAATGGAATACAGGGTGTCCCTCAAGAAAAAGTATAACTTTGATACGCCACGCATTTCTAAGTCACCCTTTATAATGCGAAATAATTTGGAAATGTGCTGCTCATGATCCTAGAACATCTCTGAAGTTTTTGTCCATCTATCTCAAACAGTAAAGCCGTTATCTCACTTTGCCACACTAATGACTCACCCTGTATAGTATCATTCTATTCAGTTCATAGTTCTTTCACAAGATTTCAGGCATTTGACAACTGATAAGTTTACATCTTGCATGAGTACTTCCCTTCTTGATTATCACTCCTGAATATCAAGATAGACGAGGTACTGTCGAGTCAATGTCTGAAATATCAGATGAGTGAAAGTTGTCACTGAAGATGAACTATGTTCAGCTGTTCGTGTTTCTGAAATAGAATCCGTAATCCTCTATAGCTGATCTCGCCATTCTCGACAACTTAATCTCCATTATTTATATACGGGTCGATTCAATTCAAAATTCAACTGGGTTATACATCTTCAGAGAATATTGGGGACATACCAGTTTATATACATTGGAATAGGGCTCGTTAGAAAAATACATGAACTAGAAGTGCAAGTGCATCAGAAAATTCGATAATTGTGACTACGTAAAAATATTAACCAATGGCGTTCTATAATAAAAATATCGAATAATCTGATTGAGAAGTTACACAATGACATATTATCATACCGGAGAAGTAAATTATTATTACACATACACTCATACACCCTTACACACATACACACATTTGTAGAAATCGTATCAAACGTTTTAAGTTTATGTATGAGTATTCAATGTGTTCATCGATGAATATATCAATTCGCTGGTAATGATTTCGCAGTGTCACATCTATCATTCGCCATTTCATTATTTCATTTTCAGTGATGTATGGATTGATCACGGTGCCTATCTATTGTTTTCTAGTCTGAGGGTTACACTTACATTCATTATTGTATATTGATTGATTTTTCAGGTGAGGCTCCATTTACCATCGAATTTTCCCGATGTAACCGACAACCATTTCTTGGTTCCACTAGATAATCGAGTCAGCGCTGCTATTATACCACACATGATCAAAACATCAGAGGGCGTCAAAATGTTTGACGTCACCAAAAGAGATTGTTATTTTCAGTCGGAGAGATCGCTGGAGTTTTTCAAAATTTACTCACAAGAACATTGCATGATGGAGTGTAGGGGGAAGTATGTTCTGAAAATTTGCGGTTGTGTTGATTTTTTTATGCCGAGTAAGTGTAAGGGTCGGTCTCCACGTATATTCTGAACGCTCCCTCAAATCACTAGGAGTAGCTTGAAATATTATTGTAAGCTCACATCTATCATTTTTGAAACTATCTTAACAATATTTTGAATAGAACATCGCATTAATTTTCTCTAAAATCCAATGCTTTATGCAAATTCGAATATATATTAAGTATTATAGGGTATATTGGTCTAGCTCTCTGACTTTCGAACATTTTATTATTTGGATCTTGAAAATGCTATCTATATAGTTCCTCTAACAAATTTCTCAACAAAAGTTCATAAGGTTTCTGAGATATAATCATATACCTTGTATATTGGCATATTGAATATACTTTGGAAAATGGTCGGGAAACCAACCATATTGCAAACTGATCAAAATTTCATGGAGACTACTGTTTATTCATACAAGAAATAGTACATCATAGACAATTCCACTGACTGATGAAACTGTTATAGATATCTCCATGTCATACCACCTTACAAGATGTTGTTCTATTCAGATTCATGGTTGCCGTGACGACATGGTCTTACCGGCTCGAGAGGAAGCATGGTACACTATCGACGAACTTCATTCTGATTGGTTCTGATATTGCAGGAGATGGCAGTTTGATATACGTCTTGGAATTGTCTCAATAAATACAGCTCGTGCTTACAATACTATCGAGAATTCTGTCAGAAATCATAAACTCGATCAAATTGCTTTGAGCACAGTATATTATCCTTTGCTTTGAGATAACACAACTCTTCCTGCACACACGTGGTGTCACGTATACATATACGTCTTAATGCAAAATATGGATAGTCTTTGTTTCCATAGCGCAAAAGGAAGCCGTTTTTTGAAGACAAATGACTATCTGCGCAGGCTCCAATGCGCAAGTTCAAATGACACAAGCGTCTAGCTATACCAGCGAACCTTTGAAACAACGAGTGAAGTGACGTCACCCACAACACATGATATTTCTTCTTATTTAATATTGGGAAACTAAAACTACTGCGAGTGAAGCGATATTTCAGTAGTCTGTGGTGACTGCGGTTCAATTCCTGCGAGGCGTCAATTTTATTGAAATTTTTTCACTCAAGTAATTTTTCATAAATATACTTTTCAGGAGGAAAGTTCATTTAGAACAAGTTAGGTTGAGAGTACTTTCCTCTTTCATGCAGAAGAGATATGTTCCTTCCTCATATATATTACCTTATAACCTTCTGATGACCTTGACGTTTCAAATATTCGCTGGAATAGCTAGACTTGTTCAAATGACTGACACATTATCGTGACATCTTACCTATATCAATATTTGACGACATTTATGGAAATTTATGCACAAAGATCTAAAATATCTGATATTATCGTATTCCAATTTTCTCTCACAATATTTTTATGCTCATTTTATTGATTCAACAGGAGGACTTGTTCCGTGATTTTAGTCATCAGTATTATGGTTATCTATAGTATCAGCAGGTACACTTAGCCTAGTGGTTAGGAGAGTAGGATATGCAAGAATAATCAATTAATTCTATACCTTATGGTGCATATAAAAGGGCATAAAGAATTATCCACATGTAAACATTCATTTTATTCCAACTACTACTGCAATATAATCACATATTCTAATGGGCTAGGATGACTATTTCATATTGGAGATAAATGTAATTATCAAGTGTAATTTTCTAGTAGTTCAAACAGGGATGTAATTTAGATGGAAAATATACTCTGAAAATTCATGATATCCATCAAACCTCTGCTACTAAACAAGTCGGCGAAACGAAGGTTCAAAAGCTGATGGTAAACGATGCCATTGTCTACGATATAACGCATGTCTGTGATGATTACTATATTTGCGCATGCGCATCATGCCACCAAATCCTTATGGATAATCATTTGTTTCATAATTTAGCATCCACCTGGTACCCGTTGTTATCCATATTACCAAGCAATTGGATCTCATTGATTTCTGACAGAATTATACTATCTATGATGTACTATTTCTTGTATAAATGGACGTTATTTCCCATGAAATTCTGATCAGTTTGCAATATGGTTGGTTTTGTGAGCATGAATATTTCATTTATTGAAACATTAGTACTCTTCAACGGATTGCACTTTATCCAGAAATGATTTCATCACTACCTATTATTCAGGAACACATTGCCATATGTACAAAAACTTATATGTTTTAGGGAGACCTGACACACCAATATGTCTTTTACAGGACATTGAATGCTTGGAAGAAGCTACATGTAAGATATCCATTGGGTAAACAGCCAGCAATAAGTTTAAGTCACTTTATTTCCAGCGAAGTTCTCAATATACAATGAATATTCTGAAGTTATAGACAACGGAAATATCAATAACGTTGTGAATTGTGATTGCAGACCTACTTGTACAGATATAACTTACAGTCTCGAAATGTCCCAAAATACAGTGAAATATGTACCATTGAATAAAACTGCAAGAGAAATTATCGACAATGAACAGTAAGTATTTCCTTGATCAATCTTTTGCTGATGTTCACCGTTGTGAAATAACTTAACACTTGTAGAAAGATGATTCTTGAGGTGCAGTAGGTACAATGATGAATAGGAAGACTTTTCCAGAAAATTTCTAAAACGATTATGTCATCTATGAATTTTCCGAATTGAAACATGGTCAAGTGATTCCTTCTTTGGAAAAATTATGAAAATCATACATATCTCTATGGTCTTTGAAAAATGTTACTGAATAATCTGATGATGCACCTGCTGTACAATTGTACATGCCAGCCTTGCAGGTGACGGACTACCACGTATCAATATTGTGTGCAATGATAGAGAGTAAAGGGCGTTTGACCTTTGATATTTTGTGTTTATCACAAATCGAATTGGAAATAGTGTCGATACGGCAGCTTCTAGATCACAGGAATATTTTGATTGATTTTTTATCTCTTGAAGCACACGTAACAGAATCCCTATAGCGAGAACATCGAGCGTAACTAGGGAGGAGAGGAATGGGTGGTAGGTATTTTTTTTTTACTTTTGGTAAGTTCTTTGAAATACTTCCTTTGGCAGTTAATTCCAAAGCTTTGCCGTTCTTTAGACACACGTTTTTTTTTTAAAGACTCGTCGACTTTTTCTCAAGGTTGGCGACAAAGGGATGTTCTGTCTGGGCTTGTCGAGTTCGTCTGACTGGTATTGCTGGTGATGGAACGAAGGAAGTGTCAATTAAAAAGTGGGAGGAAGGACCTTCTCTACGGTGTTCCAATGATGTCGAAGAATTAGTGAGTGTGGCATCACCCAACAGGCGAATGGCTCTTCTCTGGATGGAATCTAAGAGCATCAGCGTATGTTTGGGTGCGGAACCCCATTATATTCAGATTGGATTCAGAATGGCGCCTTTGTGCAATCTGCCTCCACACCACGACCTTTTCAGATCTATTGTGTCTGCCCTCATATTCGTTCAGAGGTCTTTGGGTAGCAGTACCTTCTCTATGAGACTCCATAGGGTAGCTTCCAGATCCCCTATGTAGGTTTGGGCTCTCGGTTTCTCCTCACCTAGCGTGAGGAACCTTAGTCTTGACAAGCCCTCACAGTGGCAAAGTATGTGTACTGCTGTTTTCTCCTCTTCCTGACAAAACCTGCACAGCAGTTCTTCAACCAGACCTATCGTACTGATGTGTTGGTTGAGCCTGCAATGCCCTATAAGAAATCTCACTAGTATTCTAGTTGTTCTTCGTTTCTGAATCAGTAAATATTCTGTGAATGTTCGCGATGGTTTTTTCATAACATTTTTTGCCTGTCTCATTCCTGGCGTGTTGTTCCACTATTCTTGAGATTTGGTTTGCATCCATGATTTGATACTCATCTTTCATATAGCTTTCATAGTACCACAAAAGGATTCTGGGCCGTTTAGAGCTTTGTTTGCTCCTGCTCGGGCAAATGAGTCTGCATGTTCATTGCCCTCGTACCCTGTATGTGCTGGTACTCATGCTAAAATCAGTCTGTTCTGACTGCCCAGTTTATTCAGAGTTTTAAAGCAGTATCAGACTAGTTTCAAGTTAACTTGCATTGAGTTGACTACTTTGATTGCCGCCTGGCTATCCGAGTAGATTGCAATAGTTTTCCCTTCAAACTCTTGTCTTATCAATTCTTCAACGCAATGTTATATCTCACCATAATTTCTGCCTGAAACACCATCGCGTATTCACCTCAGCTCAGTGAGATCCTTGTCTTTGGCTTGGCCCCATAAATACCAGCTCCTGGCCAGGGCCTACTCTAGGTGAGATAGAGTAGGCCCTGGTCTGTCCTGACCCTTCCTCAGCTTTGGAGCCGTCCGTATAGAAAGCAATGTCTGCACCAATGTCCGTTATACTTATTTTGAAAGTATTTTCTAAGCTATATTTTGGAATTATGCCATCTGTTAGCATTCAAATGATAGGGGCACTTTCCAACTTTTCATACAGCTTTCTGTAGTCTTTATCGTGCGTGTTGCTTACCACTGGACAATCTACGCACGACTGCTCTGGCTATATATTCTATATCGGAGGTGGTGGCAAGTTCAAGAGGATCTCTAATCAGCTGTTGGAGTGGTTTTCATTGCACCAGTGGCACTCAGGCAAGCTTGCCTTTGAATGGCACTAAGCATTTGAATCTCTTCAGCCTGTTGTGTCTTTGGCCATCAAACTACCGACACATATGCTATCATGGGCCTAATGACATTGGCTTAGCGCAATGTGGCCATTTCTGTTTGCAGTCCCCAATTTTTACTGCACATTCGTCTGCAGAGATTGAAGGCTACTGTACTTTTTTGAACAATTTTTTGTAGGTGTTGATTCCATGTTAGCTCATGGTCAAATAATACTTCTAAGTATATTACATCTCAGGCAAACGGAATTTCTACCATGTTAAATACTGGTGACCTCAATCCTTATTTAATACTCTCTTTTTCGTATTCTGTCACCTTCTGCCGTACGATGGGTATATATGGTATTGCTAAACAAGCCTTCAATATACAACATAGATGTGGAATTATTATCTCATGTCCCTTTGAAGTAGAATGGGGTACATCTACTCCAGGGGATTTATGAGGTTGAAATTTATTATTAGCCTACCTAATTCTGTTTGACCACGATATCTCTGTGAATAGCTTCTCTATTCCATGGCATGCTATCTGCCACTATCGGGCCATTTAGAATTCCTGAACCCCATATGTGGGAACACTATTCTAGAACAAGCTATATCTATGCTTTTCACGAGAAATACCGAGCACAAAAATAGTGGACAATATGGAAATAGTAATAGCAGACATTGGTATAACAGGCATACTAGTTTTGGCATTTCTAGAAAAAATGCAGGCTTGAAGTTTGGTGGCGTTCTCTTCAGTTTTCTCACCCAGAGAAGGGTAAAATGAATTCAAGTGTGCTAAGATCTTTTATCAGACCGTGAATGATCGAGCATTGCGAAGGTCCAGAGGATCTAAATGCAGTTGAAAATATTGCGAGTTGTACATTCCCACACCGAAGAATCTTTACATTGCGCCAATTTTCCTGAGGTTGTTCAGTAGCCTTTCATCGCATCAGGTTTCAGTATGAAGTAACATCATGAATTCACCAGGATTCCTCTAAAACTTTGAAGGAAGTTTCACAAATGGGACTGTTGAACAACTTTTTCTACCAATAGCTAAATAAACTACATTTTTTTATTCCTTTTCGAAACACAAAGTGTGTTTTTTCTACCAAGGTAGTTTCCGTCATTTTATGAACTAGGTACTTGTCAATTGAGACCTCTGATATAATTATCCCGAATTCACTGTACTGATGCGGGAATCGCAAGAATGGCACTCGAATCTAGTAGGTATTCACAACAACGGCATGGTCGTGGCTATACTAGATTTCAATTAGAATTGGAAGAAAGTTATTTTATAGTGACAATAGGTTCATATATATATATCATTTTCACAGAAATATAATGTTTGAAATATATTGGTAGTGGTGAAAATATGTTATATATTTTATATTATTACCACGGGACCTTTTGCCCCTCGGCTGAAGCCTCTGGATAAAAACTTGGTCCTTGGCTAATAATGATATTGTTCACTACCTTAATGTATAAATAACTATTTTGCACTCTCACATCATCCTGTATACACTTATTGATTCATTCAATCTCATACTCGTAACTTCAAAATGAGGTTATATTTTAATAATGTGACTACTCTACTGATTTCGTATATTTCCAATATTTGAAGGATGTTTTTTTTTCTAGTTATCGCTACTCCATTATCATCTTATACTTCAAAAGCAACCACATAGAAACGAAGGAAAGAAATGAACTGTATGGATTCTCCGATGTTGTTTCCAATTTTGGAGGTCTTCTTGGATTATTCACAGGATTCTCTATTTTATCTTTTACAGAAATCATATACTTTTTATCGCTGAGGATATGGGGAAACATTCAACTTTTTGGAAATTGGAGTGGACAAAGAATTAACTGAACTGAAACCATTTTAATTTTTAATTACCTCGAATGTTACCAACTAAATTTTATATTGTACCAAGAATTGAAGTGGAATACGAACCACAAAAATATACCGTGTCTTGTAAGGAGAAGTTGAAAATAAAATGAATTTCATTTTCCAGTTGTTTTCCTGAAAATGATAAAAATAAATCCTCATAAATATCAGGTTTGTTTTATTCAATTGATTATACAGCGTTTTAGGGTTTTCAAAATGTATTCACAGTAATTAAAGTTGTTGTGGTCCTGCCCAATATCCATAGAGCCTAGTGTTGCAGCAAATCCTCACAGTGAGAAAGTAGATAGCTTCCATAACTGAAAGGACGGAAACTCCAGTGAAAAGTCCTAATAAGCCACCGAAATTAGCCAAAAAGTCCGTCGGTCCATAAAACTCATGCCTCTGGGTAGTGATGAAATGCGACGACTTGAAAAAGATCGTAAGTTTCGATACGTGGAGTCTGAAAAGTATAAAGTATGAACCATAATCGTTAAATGAGCTCATTATATCGAAGTGACTGGCTACACATCGCTATAATTGCAACACTAAATTTGTTCCAATGATTCCAGAGCCTAGAAGGCACAGCGCTCATAATTTTTATATCTTTATAAAGATTATGAGTTCTGTGGGCTCACGTTGCGTTTTTTTTTAATAAAGACATATACAGGGTGTCCCTAAATGGTCTGGACAAAATCTCACTTACCTTAGTACGAAATTGCCCAGTGTCCGAGATACATGGTGGTGAAGATAAAAAATAAAAATCGACAAGTTCACTCCAAGGGAGTATTTTGAAAAATCAATTTTTGCACTGCTTATTCACTGACCGAATAATATTCACGACCAACTTTTTTCATTCGAAATAATTCAACTCTTCCGGTGTGGCATAGAATACTGAAAACCAAAATATCTCGAATTCGGCTTACTTTATCATGAAAAAAATTTATGGCCATTCCAAAACCATAATAAGTGCAATTATTATAAGCGCCCTCTGATGACAAAATAGAAAAGATGTCTGTATTCGGGTTTCGCATCTCAAAAAAATCCTGGATAACAATTTTTGAAGTTTTATGTGCAGGAAGGTTCTTAGATTCTGAAAAATTCGATTTTTATCCTTCAACTTTACCACCCTGTTTCTATGGAAAGAAGCAATTTCGGAATGAAATAAGTTGCTTCGAATCGGCTAATTCTAACCTAGGAATATGTGCTGAAACTTTGTACAGACTTATTAGGGACACCATATATGACTGTTTATTCAGACAGTTTGAACATATGTCAGATGTCATAACCTAGCAACCAGAGCGTCTCATTCGAATAGCTCGTCTGGAACGCTTCTGCTCAATCTGCAGATGAATTCAAACTTTGAACAGTGTTTTTCTATTGGTGAATTGGTATATGATATTGATTTAAGGGCAATTGTATCGTATCGTATCGTATCGTATCGTATCGTATCGTATCGTATCGTATCGTATCGTATCGTATCGTATCGTATCGTATCGTATCGTATCGTATCGTATCGTATCGTATCGTATCGTATCGTATCGTATCGTATCGTATCGTATCGTATCGTATCGTATCGTATCGTATCGTATCGTATCGTATCGTATCGTATCGTATCGTATCGTATCGTATCGTATCGTATCGTATCGTATCGTATCGTATCGTATCGTATCGTATCGTATCGTATCGTATCGTATCGTATCGTATCGTATCGTATCGTATCGTATCGTATAAATGATGAATACACTGCAACCTCTTCGATTGCTATACCCAATGAGGTTGTTTTCCGTAACGATAGGAATTTCTCTATGCTTTATCTCTAAGAAATTTCAGGATATAATATGGTTCCATAAAAGAAAGTTTTTGCTTCTTCATTATGTGTACTCCTAGGTTTCTTGACCTTGGGTTCTGTGGGGTGACGCAGAGAACCTGCATTCATCTTCCTCTTCTATGCCAAGCTTCCTGAAATATCCTTTCAACCGGCAGAGCCCTGTCAGGACTCTCGTTAGTATACAAATTGGGTCTTTCTCATGTAGGTCGTCAATTTGTAGTTAACAGAGAGATTTCAAAGTGAACATGTCTTACAAAAAAATCTTTTGATACTGAGACCCGGTGTTCTAGGTCCTAGGTATTTCAATTTTGACTGTATATTATTAATGTCATTCCAGCTGGGGTAACAGCTAAAGAATGTAACAGAAAGTGGCGGTGAATTGGTGACAGGTCTGTAAAGGTAATTCATTTATTCGTAAACTTACCCATCACTCGATAAATTAGTGTCAGATCCAAGTAATCGCGCTTCAACTTCCCAAAATTTCCAGTCACTTTGGGAAATATCCACATTATAAGATAAATCTGAACACATTGGCATACAGTCACAATCATCTAGGTGTTCAATTCTAGTCGTTTCATTTCCACCAACTCCAATTTTTTTCCGCAAATCGTATAGCTGATAGTCCTCTTCAGCAGCAGACATGCAAGGAGTATTACCTGGTCCACAGATCTCCGTCTCATTATCTCCTGTAAATGTATCAACTTCTTATTGAACTTGTTCATCGCAGGTTGACCTACAGTATAATAAGCTACTGCACTGGTATTGTATTATTCACATTCAATAATTACAATTTGTTGTTACAAACCTCAAAGGAATGTGTTTTTGTTGCAAATCACCATGCTATTTTGCCAACCGATATCGATGTTGAAGATGTCAGTTGATAATATTGCTACGCCAAGTTCGACTGAATCGGCCAAACGTTGCCAAGTCGCAAGTTATTATTGAGATGTTTGAAAATAATTGTCGTACTCGAGCATTTGCCAAGGGTAATAGCAAGAGTACTCGCAATAGTATCTATAGTATTGAAATCAACAAGTTCCAATTCTTGAGACCACTAATTTTTGTGAGCTCTATATCAATGAACTACGAGTACCTAAACATAATTTTGCATTTTCTCATTCATACTAGGACGATGAGAAAAATAAATTGAAATAATACACGATCATTTCAAAACACATACTTCCTGCGATATTTCAAATGATGTCAATTCATTGGTGTGATTGTTGTGACGTATTAGTCCCAACTCGCCTATTGTCCTTGAGCTGATCAATCACACTGCAACAATGCAGAATGGCAAGGTATCAGAGAGAGATAGCTTCATTTCAGGACTAATACGTCAAGGTTCCACCTTCATATCTGGTTTCTTGAGGTATCGAATATGATATACTGATTTCAAAACGCTATAAAATCGAATTCCTTCAAATATAACAACTTGATCATGATTCATCGATTCAAATGGGTTAGGGCGGAATTCATTTCTCAGTGGTCTTAAAGCAATTTGATGTAGTTTAAGATTTCTATAATAACGAAGATGATGGAAAACCCAAATTTCAAGTGACAACGAGAAATGAAAAAACTCCATCGCCCCGCGTGAGAGTCGAACTCACAACCTTTGGGTTACATGCCCAACGCTCTGCCAATTGAGCTAACGGGACATCCGTCGATCAATCGGCAGTCTCCAACTGTTTTGGCCGTTTTTACCTGTTCAACAGTTTTCATCCTCTTCTGAAGGTGAAATTGGGATTCCTTGGTAGCTCATTTTTTGATCGTTAACAAAATGAAACTTTTTTGGAGATTACCCAATTCACTGGCCAAAATCGCAAAAAGTATGTTTCTAATGATTCCTATTTCTCGGTTTCATGGAGAACATCTTCGACAAACAATATAGACAAGAAGACGACCACCGTACGAGATATTTTTTGTTTTCGAGGTATATGAAACCATGAAGACGAATCATTTCCATAAATATTACATCATTGTCTCAAAAGACTCCTAACTATCATGATATTCACTGTGCACTCATCTTACTTGGCATATAGTGCGCTACACATCCACAATGTTTCAATGTATAGTTAGTAAGACATTCTAGGAGACAATTTTTGTTGGTGTAGGTTTTGAAATACTTCAGAGATCTCTCCGTCGAAAAATAGCATTCTCTTCTAGCTGGACTGTAATATCTCACGGTCTCTGAAGTCGTTATCATCGATGGGTTCACCACTGCGAGAACAGCTTGATCCAGAGGAACCTGAGAGGAACAATAGCACTTGTACAAGATGTTTCCTAAAAATTACTGACAAATTCATGGGGTGATCCCTGAGTTACCATTAATATTTGTCTGAGATGCTTCCCAAGAGAGCTATGCCCCTTTCGAATAATCTGCCCCACATTTGAGGTGAGACAAACAACAATTTCTTTTTTTTTCGAACCGTCATAACGTTGGATTGGATCAAGCAATTTTCAAACTCATTTATTATTCTGATAGCTCATTTCATTGACTACAACATCAGTTTTTCTAGTTATTCCACCGTTTGGAAATGGTAACCTACAGAGTGATATCTGAAAATGTGATAATTCTCGAAAACTTTGAGATTGCCCCGTTGAAGTTGAGTTTATGGTGGTTGAATATCTGACATCAATGCAATATGCTGTGATAAATCGGAAGATACAATACATCAAAACATCTTGCATGAGTCCTTTTGAATCCAAGACTTATTATGCTTTATGCTTCATTGTATCACCCTCATGAAATATAACAAAATCCTTACCAAACGGAACGATCTCAGAATTTCCGAAAATTATCACAATTCCAGTTATCACCGTGTGGGTTTTCAAACGGTGGAATAACGAAAAACGATGTACTCAATAAAATTAAGACATTTTGGTTGTTTCACTTCTAATGTGAAGACGTTTTTTCCTCAATATTTCTGAAACCGTTCATCTAAAAATCATTGAATTCAATACATTGGATTAGTTCCAGATGATGAATCTAGTTTTTAACTCAGAAATTGAGAATTTCAATCAGGGACGTACCATACTGAAGGGATTAAGGGTAACAACATTCTCATTTTGCAATGGTAGTTACATTATCTCCCCATTCTGATCTCAGAATATATCTGAAGCCTACTTGCTCTAGTTTTTCGTTCATTTAGATATATTCATATATATATTCCATTCATGATAGAAATACAGGAAAATGAGAATGATGGTTTGGAAAAAAAAACAAAAAAAATTCAGGAAGGATAAAAACGATCTAAGAAGGAAATGGCTCGCGACAGGAAACGATAATGACCTAGAGAAATTAAAAAAAAGAAGATGGCGGACAGACTCTGTAAGAAAAAAAAGAACAATTTGAGAATGATATGATGTGAGAAGACATAAAGCACCTTACAAAAAACAAGAAAAGAGTAAAAACAATTGGCGAATTAGAGTAGGAAGCATACTCCAAACATCTGTTCAGGGACAATTGTGAAGAACAACATAACAATTAAGAAGAGTTGAACCAGACAGACGACGACAAAGATCCAACATACGAAGAATACTTAGGTATAATAAAAACGCCCGCGGGCCCAGATGGAATTATCAATGATCTGGTGAAGAATGGAGGCGAGAAAATATTTTCAAAAATTATTCAACTTCATAATCAATATCTGCGGAGAAGAGCGCATGACAGTATGATAGAAATCGGGTCTAATGATCCCAATCCACAAAATGTTCTAACTACAGGGGTATAACACTACTGAACGTAACATATAAAATATTGTCAAGACTTATCAGAGAAAAACTAACGAAATACGCTGAAAAGAGACTGGGATAGTATCAACAAGGGTTCAGGAAAGGAAGATCAATAATTGAAGCAGTACATATAATGACACAGACAATAGAAAAATACTCTCCATAGATTCCAAGAGAGCTTCCGATAGTTTGAATAGCGATAGATAGCTAAACAAAGATATGGGGAAAATCAAAATTCTAAATAAACTGACGAGTTTAACAAATATGACAATGGAAAACTAAACAGCTAGAGTAGTAACCAACGAAGGATACACAGAAGAAATAAAAATAAAAAGAGTAAGACAAGGAGACGCCCTATCAACAATACTGTTTAATATTTCACTGAACGATGCAATTCAAACGATAGATGTAGGAAGATCAATTGCACAAATTGTAGGATACAAAAGAATGTAGAGGAATCAGTAACTTGACTAGAGGAAGAAGCAAGAAAGAGAGAACTGAAAATCAATGAAGAAGAAACGAAGTACATGCCAATCAATCGTGACAAAGACGCTAACATGAAGAAAATAAAAATAGGAAAATATTATTTCGAAAAAGTTAGTTTCAAATACCTAGAAGTAACGCTGAATCAATATAATAGTAGAGCGCCAGAGATCGCAGAAAGAATCAAAACGGGAAACAGGGCATATTGGAAGTTGTAGACATAACTTAGAAATGAAAATTTGAACAAGAAAACTAAAAAGCGAATATACCAGGCAACAATTAGACCAATAGTCACCTATGGAGCTGAAACAATGAGTTTGACAAATAAAGAAGGAGAAAAGCTAAAAATATTCGAGAGAAAAATGATGGGGAGAATATGAGGGACGGTGAGAACAGAAGAAGGGGAACAAAGGAGACTAATAAATCATGAAATGAAGGAAGCAATGGATGATAAAAGAAGTGTTGGAATGGAAACTACAAATAAACAGACCAAGAGAGCGGTTAAAATCAAGATGGGAGGACGAGATATTGAATGATATAAGAACCATGAGGATAAGGAGGAAATATTGGCACTCAATAACCGAAAAGGCAGAGCGGCACATCAGCCTGTGACGACGTACAGAAGAAAGAAGACCAGCGGAGTGATTCACCGCAAGAAATGAATCTGAAGAGCTCTCATAAGCGGTTACCTTTGCAACTTTAATGAACAGCCGAGTATATAATAAGGAAGGGAAGTCGATGCTGACCAGTAGGACTGAAACCAGTGTATATTGAGGCTAGAGCAATGTAAAAGCATATACTCTTCAAAGTTGATCCAAGCTTTCGCAAACCTTTATTTCCATCAACAGGGAAAATCTTTGACGAGGTTGGTTACAACATTGTTAAATTCATGAAATTGTATAAAACACAGTGACATATTAATGTAGAAATTGATACATGGACATAATACATGAAACTAACATTGTAGAGACTAAAATCGTTTTTTGTTAAGAAATTTGAAAAATGTAGCCGGCAATAACTTAACCTTATATAATTTAACGAAAATTCAATTCAAACCTTGTCATAATTCCGCTGAAAGATTACATTACAGACAATCCTAACGGACGGAGGCAGCTGTCATTTTACATTTACTTTTCAATTGTCATTTTAATACCGTTGAACCAAAATAACAGTATGATCACGAAAAATTTTCAAGAAAACGAAACTATTGAATAATAATTTTGGGGCGGATCGATTTGTGTGGATTCTCATACTGAATACATGAATTGGTACTATGCTAGAGTTGTAGCCTCAAAACAAACAGCCTGCCATTGAAGGCGAATCTCGTGATCAGAACTCTATAATGCTGAGGCCAGAAATAACGGCAGCCAAACACAATTTTTTTTATTGACTCGGCCGTTACTTGATGGAAATCAATAGCAAATGTAAAAACTTCACAAACGATGAAATATCATCATTTGTGAAGCCAAACATTAGCCAAACACTAGTTGCATCAAAAGTTGCATAAAATGTCAAATTATGATCAGAACTCATGTATTGTCCTAGTGGCTCCCCCAGTAGCACGAATATTGGCAGGATATTGGCTTCATTTTAGCCCAATATCAGAAATATTTGGCCAATATGGGGCCATTGGAAAGTAGAATGCATGAAATCGTCTTCCGCCAACGCACTATCAGACCCAACCTGATCGGTCTTGAAACGAATATCGGTCCTGATGGTATTCCTGCCATTGTTCTCAGAAAGTGTGCATTTGGAATAACACCAATTTTCTGCAAGCTTTTCACCCTTAGGTGATCAAAAAAGAAACAATATCATTGAGCTTATTAAGCTCAGGAATTATAAATTATCGGCAATATTGCTTTCGCCATCGAAGACCAACTGGGGAACTACTTGTATGTCGCTCACATATGGCAAGTTTTATCTGAAAAACATGGAAAATTCCTAGCTGCGGCGTAAGATATATCGGAAGCATTCGACCGTGTTTTTCTTCCAGAACTACCGTCATATATACTCACCACCGTAGCTGAGCCTTCTTCTATCGAGTCTTCTTTCATGATGATCTCTTCATGTGATGGTGGACGGAGTATCGTCTGATACCAGTGATACCTTAGCCATCAATTCTGGTGCTCCCCAAGAATCAATTCTGGCAACAACATTGTATCTACTCAATATCAATGATCTGTTGGGAGTAACCACTTTCTCTATCCACAGCGTGGCAGATGACAGTACCTAATCATACTACGTTCTCTTCAAGAGTTCGCATTCGACTCTACTGAGAACTCACGACAAAGGCAGGTCACCGCTGTCAATAATATATTGCTGAAATTACAGCCTGGGGATACAATAACCTATAGTTGAATCCAAAGCCACCTGAACTCAAGCCAGCATTTTCTAGAAAAGCCGAACCCAGTATACCTGACATTGGGCAATGTCTTGTGAAAACATTTTCCCAAAATCTACCATATCTATGGTTGATTTGTACTCATGTCAGTAAAACTCTTCCATGTTCAATCATGTCAGATCCATCGCGAAAGCTTCTTCACAAAATCTCGAATTATGATTCGCAGAAAAAAACAATTCACACCTCAACAGCTGCCTCGAGATCTACGAAGCACAGATCTGGTCCCTTTCAGAATACTGTTGCTGCATATGGGGTTCAGCACCCAAACATACGCTGATGCTCTCAGATTTCATCCAGAGACCAGCCATTCATTTGGTTAGTGATGCCACAATCACTCATTCTTTGACATCATTGGGACACTGTAGGAAAGTCGACTACCTTACACTTCTCTTAAGATACTTTCACGTTATATGCTCTTCAGAAATCTCGGATGTCATTCCATCACTAGCAATACCGCGGTGAGACGAACTTGATAATCCAAGTCAGTAACTATTCATCAAGAGTCTAGAGAACGACAAAGCTTTGGAATTTTCTGGTGAAGGAAGTAATCCCAATGACTTTATAGCTTCCAGAAGTACAAAAAATGTGCCAATAATTCTTTACCTCCACTGCCCTGTCCTTCCTAGTTAGTACGCACGATGTTCTTCAAACATCATAAAAATACCCTTTCTTGCATACCAAAAGTTAGAAGAAGACACATTATATGGTTGATATGAAACATTTTACAAGCATCAAGAATGGTAAGGTTGAGGTAACGATTTCAGACAATGTTCAGCGACTGAGTGCAATGAGTCCTCACACCATTCCAGATACTTAACAGATATATAGGTTACCTACTAATTATGTTGACTTCTGTCGATCTCCTATTGGTTATAGTGATAATTACCCTGAAATATTCCTGTCTGAGACTTGGTACTCTTGATGGAAGATGGACGCTCACCTGAAAAGTATCTATTGATTCAATTACAATAAAAGTAATAATTTTGAAAATATAAAAATAAAATTCGGACAATATCAGGAATGGCACAGAATTTATGACTACTAATGATTAATATACGACCGTGATTCCGTTTAGGCTCAAGAGCTTGTCTATGAATAGCCATACTATCAGAGACAGACACCTCTACATTATAATCTTGAATGTCGGCTATTTGTGTTTTGTGCTGGAAGATATTAATTGTAATGGGAAACCAATGCGTTTGATACCCAGTATGAAATGTTGCCTAACTGATTATACAAGATGTTATTGAAATATGTAGCCGAACTTATTTACGTTATCTTGTGAGCGTTGCTAATATAGAAACTTCATAAAATTATTACGGTCAAAAAATGCATAGTTTTTGAAAGAGAAATAACTCCTCCATCAAGACCCTGTATAAGTAATCATTGAATCAACTAAATATTGTGTTCCTCATATAACCATTGTCGTTCTAGATGGCAACCTTGAACCTAGTTAGCTATTTAGTAGGCAAGATCCCTCCTCGCACTAGGTCGCCTACTAAGTTCTCATTTAGATCGACAATATGCATAATTATATTCACTTCAGCACTGTGATAACAATTTGATCACTATGAAAAACATGTCAGTTGAACAAATACAACACTTTTCAACAGGGATTGCATATGGAATTTATAAACCGGTAGGTAGTGACAAATTTTGGGACGCGATTTCACTCAGTATACCTTGTGGAGGGTGTTCCATTGAGTATATATTTTGATGTTGAAAAATGATACATGAAAGGATCCTCCTGAGTCATTCATGCATGCTTTGAAGTTCATATTATTATTATAACATTATTCGTTCGCAAATTGTGCGTTTTGATACGATACTTTGAAAAAATGCTATAATGTATGAAGAACTCGGGAGGATTCTTTCATGTATCATTTTTAAACATCAAAATACATACATAATGATACCCTCCAAGAAGCACTGTCCATTTGGCACATGTACATCCACTGAACGTCCAGGTTATATTCATGGACGTTTGGACATCATTTGGACCGAAACTGGACGTCCACTGGACGTCGTGTGCGATATGGGTGGGTGAAATCACGTCCGAAAATCTTTCACTACCTGTCGATCTATTAGTCGTGACAAAATATGTAACTATTGTTGCTATTGAGTTATTTACATTTACTACATCGTCTTTAGGCCAATGGCTAGCGTCACTTTGTTTCATCAGTTTTGATTATCGTCAACTATCAACTAATGAAAACAGCTATTTAAAATACAAGGGAAAAGAGTATTAGATTTGGGCTCGGGCTTGTGTAGTGTGTGCGGAGAAGAAAGACCAAGAGCAAAATCTAATATTTTTTTCGTGTTTGATACACCATTTCTTTCTGTGACAGGAAAAACGACTATTCAATTATCGATCTGTTTGAAGTTTTTCACTGGTAGGCGTTGCAGGCATCTTTTTGCAGACATCATCTTCGTTGCTATCGAAACCTCTTGGGGTAATCAAATATCTGTCATTTCAATTCTTTGAATCGATTTGAGTCGATTGCTGACTAGTAATTTACGAAACTGCGAAGTGGAATGGAAGATCAAACACGACTTGCAGGTCATTCTCGGAGGCTGTATTATTGGCTTATTTTTCAGAACTATTGCACAAGGCACAAAGATAGCCCTCAAGAGTGGACTGCCCAATAGTAGATTGTTTTATCAGGATCAAAAGTGACACATATTGACAAATATTTCAGGGACGTTCTATAAACATTCGGAATGGACTGTTTTAAATATCCTGAGAATATTCCTAGTATATTGTAGGAGAAGGATAGGAATTAAAGAAAGCTTTCTCCGGTGGAGATGCAAACCTACTATCTTTTATTTATTTGTTCATTTATTCCAACAAACAGGTTTTACCCCATTGACATGTTGTCTGTGCATAAATGGTTGTTTCGAATGGTCTTGTGATTGAATTTTCACGAACCTGAAACCATGATCCTGATTTCAAAGGAAATGAGGAACGCTCAATGTCATCTCTACGGCACAGTTGTGGAGATGACTTTGAGCAATCCTCCTTTCCTTTGAAGTAGGTATTGCACTCCACTTTGAGCAAACATGGAGTTCTACGAGAGATTGAGATCCTTATTGATAAATACAATAAATCAACTTTGAATTATTAGTGAGATAATCGGCATTGTCGCTTGAGAATAATGGGTTCTGTCAGGGTGAACATTATGAATATTGATACAAAGAATATTTTTTTTCAATTGCATTTCCTCGTTGGACCCAGCACTGGATCCAACGCCCCATAAGTCGAAACTTGTGCGGGGTTAGGAAAGCATACATTTACAAACATCCATGGCCTAACTGGGATTCGAACCCATGCCTCGGTGAGAGTCCCCATACGAACTCAGCGCCTTCGCGCTCTCGACCACCTCATTATCATATATTTTGTAATGATTATGGATATTCTCAAAATATTGTTCCAGAATATTCCTAAAGAATATTCTGAGAATATGTCGTATTGATTGTTTATAGGATGTTCTTTACAGGACGAGATTATTCTATGATCATTCTGAGAACATTCTATAAGAAAATTCTGAAATAAGTATATTTGAACGTGGTCAGAATATTCATAGAATGCTGTCTGGGATGTAATGAAGACAGACATGAATATACTATAGCCATTTCGATTTATCGAATTGATTCGATTCTGAAAAAAACTTACTCTGTAACCCTGGAGAGATAGCTTACATATGTGATCGATATTGGCTCTAATCGTCTTCAAATGCACAGTGAGACCGTGATTAACTCCTGCCATCAGGGCTCTTCTCGGGTATGGATTGATTCCTGCATCACTAGCAAACCCATTTTCAACAGTCCAGTTCTCATAGGTCAGGTTACCCATTGCATGATAATATGAATGATGTACTCTGAAACAATCGATAGCGATAGAAGTTTATGCAGAGTCAGTTGGAAGAACACATCACCGCAAGCTGTCGGTCCCTTTGAAAGTTCAAAGAGTGCGGCAACGCGGCACGACATTCGTTTGATGATATGTTCAACTGACTTTGCATAAACTATTATAGTATATTACACACCGATGTGAGAAAAGATTCATTCCTGTCGGGACATAAGTAAGCTATGATCTCGAGACATATTAATAACTTCATAGAAGATTTAGATGGATCGATTGCATACATTGATGATATCCTAGTATTTGCGGAAACAATTGAGGAACATAATACCAGATTGGAAAAATTATTGAAAAAATCTAGAATTGAGATAATAAAGTTTGAAAAGGAAAAGTTACAATTAGCAACGGATAAATCGAGTTTTTAGGACATAATGTATCTGGGAAAGGTATTAAAATAAATGAAACTAAAGTAAAGGCTTGAGAAACCAGAGAACAAAGGTTTTTAGGAATGATAAATTATTTAAGGGAATTCATTCCAAATGTTACTGAATCAAGTGAACCATTGAGACAGCTACTTCGTAAAGATTCAAGTTGGGTATGGGAAGGTCCGCAGGCTCAAGCATTCATGAATTTGAAAAGATTGCATTCTTTCTGACAAGCAAGGAAATATTGCTTGTCAGAAAAAAAGCCCAAGATTCAGTTTTTTGGCCTAATATAAATAAACAAATTCATGATTTGATATCTGGATGTTTGACATGTCTGCAATTCTCCAAATCGAATGAAAAACAACCACTAGACCAGTTCCTAAATTACCATAGGAAAAAATTGGAATTGATTTCGTGCAGTGATCCAATGAAGAGATGTCTTCAAGATGACATTTGATTATTATTTGACTCCTTCTTGATTTTTATAGAAGGGGCATGTTGTATAATGATCACCTATGGAATATGATTATAGTGTGCTGAATGATAGTCATGGTAAACGAGATGTGAACGGACTGAATAATAAATAAAAACGAAAACTGTCGGACTCTGAATTTACTATTTCAATATTTAACACGCGGCAAACTGTGAAGGATCCTCAGAATCGAAGCATATTCAATGCGAAGGAAACTCGAAGAAAAACATGCCGAGACCGTTCCAGTTTCCTGGGTTATAATGCCATACAAGACGTGGAAGTACTGGACTATTCGATGGAATGAAGAATGGGCAAGTTGTGGAGAGGTTATGGAGATACCTAATATAACGTAATATCTTGTAATCGGCTGATGATAGGCTTATATAAACCCGAAACATGTATTGCGTGATGGATCTTTGATCCTTCAAATAAATGTTGTGGATATGACTCTGGGTTTCTCCATATATGAAACACATTTTTTCTCAAACTTGGACACCCTGTATCTCGGACATGAATCATTTTCGGATCCATGTTCCATGTTTATGTGAATTCATTTCCTATTTTGTTGGCAGGAATATTTCCTAGGCCTTTGTCACCATTACTCTGAAACACACCCTGTATATTGGAATAATATTCATTTATTTGTAGAAACGAGGAAACAAAATCTCAAAAAGTCTATAGAAAAGTAAAACATAGTAACACGTTACAAAGCACCACCCCCTGTAACTCTTTTATTTTTGACAGTAGGAGAAAAATAGGAAAACATATTCATATCTGGGAGATCATACCAGTAGCAACAAAAGGTTCATGAATTTCGAATAGAGCACCCTATATATTTTCTTACCATTAGAAAGTCCTTTTGAAGAGGTTTCCAAAAATTCTGCACTCTATATATTTATCTTTTTTATTTCTCAATTCATGGTCATTCAAAACTAACAGAGTTTAATCGATTTTTGAACGATTTTCGAGAAAACATCATGACAATGATTGCAAATTCAGGTATATATATCGGCGGTGATCACTGAAAATCAATATTGTAATCATTGACAAGGCCTTCTTTCGAAAATCATTCAAAATCGATCAAACTTTGTTTGTTTCAAGAGTTCATATTTTCAGAAATACGAAAGATAAATTGTCCAGAAAACTCACCAGCAAATATTCTATTAAATTCATTCAGTTTTCATAACCTATTTCAAGTGAATTCCGTACCAAATTCAAGAAATGTATTTTTGGACCTGATATTCTCATCATTGTTGATAATCCAGTTGATCCAATTTTTTCAAACAGTATTCATCATTCTGCCATTGGTTTTGATTTGATTACCGTGAAAACTACTGAATTGAAGATTGTGGAATATTTTTATGATTTCAAAAATGGTGATTATATCCTTATGAATAATTTCTTTGCTAGCTTCGATTGGATGTCGTTTTTGAACGTTGATGATTTGAACCTGATCTCAACTAAATTCTATGATGTTTTATATAGCGCCATTCATGAATTTGTTCCTCTGAAAAAGTATCAATCGTCCGCGTTCCCCATATGGTTCAACAGTGAATTGAAACAAACTATTTTTGAAAAAAAAATTGTTCATAAGGAGTATAAAAATGGCAATATAGAAGCATATAATCGGTTTCAATTTCTCAGGGAACGGTGTAAAATCTTACGAGATGAATGCTATCGTAACTATATTATTAGAACTGAAAATAACATTTCTTCTAATCCTCGCCATTTCTGGAAATTCATTAATGATAAGAAAAAGTCCCACAGTCTTCCATCTCGTATGGTATATAACGATATATGTAGTGATAATTGTGATGAAATAGTTAATATGTTCTCTGACTATTTCTCGACCGTTTACGACAATACAACAATTAATCAAATCCCTCACTATCACTTCGATAACACTGTTGACGTTTGTACTTATACTATTGATATCAAAGGTTATTGATTTGGTACTGTCATTACCTATGAAGTTGTCAACTGGCCCAGATGAGATCCCATTGTATTTGATAAGAAAATGTATTTATACTTTAGCAAAACCTATTCACTTGCTGTTCAATTCATCTCTTGAGAAGGGGGAGATACCTAACAACTGGAAACTCAGTTTCGTTAAACCTATCCACAAAAGTGGTTCACGGGAAGATGTTAGCAATTATAGAGGTATTTGTAATCAGTCAGAGTTACCAATGTTGGATTGTTTGATCACTAGAAAACTATCATGGGATTTTAAAAATATTATATCTAACCAACAACATGGTTTCTGTCGGGGTCGATCAACATCAACAAACCTGTTGCTTTATCAAAACTATATCATCAATTCATTAGAGAATAAGCTGCAAGTAGACTCTATTTACACAGACTTCTCTAAGGCCTTTGATAGAGTTAACCATAGTCTGTTACTTGCAAAACTTGAAGATTTGGGTATAGAGGCGAATATTCTGAGTTGGATCAGAAGCTATCTCACTAGTAGAGTCCAATATGTGAAATATGGGAGCTCAGTTTCACAACCAATCGAAGTACCATCAGGTGTACCACAGGGATCTCACATGGGACCTCTGTTATTTAATCTTTTTGTTAATGACCTCTCTGATGTCATCATCAACAGTTCCTTCTTGATGTTTGCCGATGACCTGAAGATGTATAGAACGGTTCAATGCATTTCTGATGCTGAGAGTTTGCAGCTCGATCTAAATAATTTTTCCAGATGGTGCCATATCAATTTATTGAAACTGAATTTGAATAAATGTCAAAAGATAACATTTTCACGAAGCCATGATGCTATTGATCATATTTACAGAGTTAATGATACTAATCTATCAGTAACTAATACAATCAAAGACTTAGGAGTAATATTTGACTCGAAAATGACCTTCAAACATCACATAATAGAAACATCATCTCGTGCTCGTAAAATGCTAGGCTTCTCCCTCCGTTCTGCTAAAGAACTATCTGTCAATGCAGTTAAAATTATTTATTGTGCACAGGTGAGGTCTATTCTTGAATATAATTCTTTGATCTGGTCACCATTTTACAAAGTTGATTCTGATCTCCTAGAGGGTTGTCAAAATAAATTTTTAAGAAGTTTTGCATATCACATGGGATTCAATAGGGATGAATATACCTATCCACAAATATTAGATATTTTGAACATGAATACGTTGGTACATAGAAGAATGGAAATTGATCTATTATTCCTCCATAAAATTATCAATGGTTACATTGATTCTCCTGAAATTGTTGCTCTGATTATGCTTTCCGCAAATACAAGAAGAAACAGAAATAGTGACATTTTCAAGATACCATTCTGTAGGACAAATTATGGCCAAAATGAATCAATGAATAGAATTATGAAAACAGCAAACACAAACAATCACCAAATTGAACTTTTCAATTCATCTTTATTGTCTCTCAGGAGAGCGATAAAAAACTGTTAATCACATTTTTCATAAACTTCATCATAGATATGATAATGTGTACGTGCTCTGTATTTTTATACTTTCTTTTTGTAAATTGTATAATTGGCTTGTCCGTTAATAAATAAATAAATAAATATGCAGGGTGATTCAGGTCAGTGATCAGTAGCGGATCTACAGGCGTCAAAGTTCAATTATATTTTATTAATTGGTATATTTTGCTCACTTTTGAAGATATCAATTAAAGATTTGGTCTGGTTAATATTTTATAGGAATTCATCATTTCAGCCATGTTAGAAATTTTTAAAATTCACAGGGTGGTACGTTTTTGGAGGCATATAAGCTTATTCATCCTCCCCAAACTTTTTCGCTGTACGCCTCTGACATTTTTCAGTTACGAAAAAGGGCGAATCGTTCAATTCAGAGGCTTTTTCTGCGATTCATTTTTTTTTTGATAATCGGACCGTTTTCGAGAACAATTAGCATATCCGAAGACATCTCAATTTTATCTGTATTTCTGTCTTAAATTTATTCTTGGACAAAATTGAATAAAAATAATGGAAAACGCAATAGTATACTGTTTAACGAGCATGGAATGATAGTGATCTTCCACGAGAATGAAGTTAGGCGAATGCTGCAATCGTTCGAGTGGAAAATCCGCATTCCGTGCGAGTTATACACTATAACTTTTCTGTGGCTGTAACAGATAAAAGCGACATTTTTGATTTCTTCGTCTTGAAGCCATCTGAGTTTCTCTCAAGTAATGCTCATCTATTAGACATTGCTTGAAATTTGACATTCCATGAGCTATGAAATTTTTTTGAAATAATAACACAATGAAGTCATTGTGATATCAGATACGGAAATAAAATTGATGACATGACAAGTTCCTTATTGATGTATCGAACACAGTAAAACAAGAGCAATTTTGTGTTATAGCCGTAGAAAAAGAAAAAAATCACATTTCGCGAGGAGATTCTTCCCGACAAGTCGATGGTAGTTAATTCATTAATTTTTTCAAATGATATTGAGAAAGATATTGAATGAGGAATATGAATACAACTGGATGGCGCTCAACCAGTGGCTTAACACGTCGTTGGATATATTGATCGGTTAAAAGCAACCTGACCTACACTCTGTATCCCCGCTACTGGTTCAGATTGGAATTTGGTACATTATATTGTATTTTAAGCGAATCATTTCGGGCAAAATGAAAATGTTATTGCACGGATATGCTGATTTATCTCGAAAACGGTTCAAAAAGACTTCAAATGGAACGATCCACCATATCTGGTAACTGATGAAAACATCGTACCATGCTATATTCCACTCTGTAATGACATATGGGGTCACTCCCCTCTTATGACCAGCCTTTTTGGGTTACAGAGGCGAGCTATTCGAATCATGGCGAGTCTGAGTTTCAGGAGCATTTAAACATTTCAATATACTTACCTTACCATCTCATTACATACTAGAAAATCTGATGTATGTGAAGGACAATGAGGATAAATTCAGAGTGCATAGTGGGGTCCACAACTATGATACAAGACAAAAAAACTTGCTCATCCCAGCTTATCATAGGTTGAAGAGGTGTCAAGATGGCCCAGGCTATCTATCCATGAAATTTTTCAATACTCTACCAGATTCCATAAAGAACTTGGAACGAGATGAATTAAAGAATAAAGTTAAGCAGATTTTGTATCTAAATTGCTTTTATTCATATGATGAATTCCTCACACACAAATTTTAATAATTTTTTCTAATATTTTCTAATATTTTCTGTTTATAAACGAATGTTTTAGTCTAATGTAGTTCCACTATACAGGCTGATTTTAAAATAAGTGCATATATTTTAAACACTAAGAAAGCTTGAGGTATACTACTAAAATAGATTTGGGGCAAGATACCCTTTTTCCGCCCAGATTTCTACTTCTGTCACAACTATCGTTTGCGATCCGCAGTCGACCGTGATGAACGAAGCGACGTTGCCACTCTATATGAAAATTAGGAGATATTAAATAAAATGTATAATCGAGAAAATGTACATGAGGAAGAAGTTAACCCTGGTCTTGAATTTCAGAAAGATAATACAAAAACTGCAAAATGGACTCACCCAAGATTTCTACACATAAGCTCGAATAGCGTATAACTTAACGACACCTCACGGTTGGAAGTTATTTTACTGAAAAATCCTTTAGACCCTTCCTTCCACCTCCTTGCATCGCTACAATTTCGTGGTCTTCGAGGAGTCTCATGGGCCCCGCACAATAATGACCCGACATAAGAACCATATCATTCAGCTCAATGTTTGAGAAATGCATCGTCACATTCCAAGCAAATTGTCAGGAACAAAACTTTACATTCAGTGTTGTTCCTGGGTCTGATTTTTTCGTAATAGATTTTCTTGGAAAATGGTAACTGATTTGTATCAAAAGGTAATAGATCCTAAAAATCTTACATTTGACATTCTGAATGTCTTTCTTGTAAAACCATATCGCACAAATTAGACAGTTTTGGCAGGAATGAGGCAGGTCACACAGAACTTATGACATAAATATAGAACATAGACCCATAGAGCAGAACATAATTATCCGCTGAACACAGAAATAGATTTTTTAGTAACAAAACATCATATTTTGGTGCTAACAGTAACAAAACATAATATTTTGGTGCTAACACCCAATAGTAATTCATGACAAATCGTAATATTGTAACAATCTCCGTGGAATAGTAATAGATCTATTACAGAAGTAATGACAAGGACCACACTGTTTACATTTACTAGTATCACGTTTTGACGTTTTCCGAAATAACATACATTCTCAGAACAACAAACTGTCAAGAAAGGATCTTTGTTTTGATTGTTCTTATGGTATGCTACCAGCAAGAATTCAGATGACCATGAATTACTAATAGGCGACTTTTACGGACCAATCAGAAACAGCAAAGTAGTGCCTGCGTGGTTGCGATTCATCCTGATTGGGCACAGGTGATTGAGATTAATGTATTAGTGAGGAAGGATCATATCTTTAAATGAAACTACCATTTTCATTAAAAACTAATTTGGAAAAAACATCTATTAGTTCAATTCAATGAAATGATACTTCCTCACTGAACACTAATCTCACAAATCCAATCAGCTGTGTCCAATCAGGATGAATCGCAACCACGCAGGCGCTACTTTGCTGTTTCTGATTGGTCCGTAGAAATTGCCTATTAGTAATTCATGGTCATCTGAATTCTTGCGTCCGAAACGGTCAGAAGCATGCGCAGTTTCACAGAACTGTATGATTTTTTTGGGTTCTGTGGACTTGTGCATGCTTCTGACGGTTTCGGATTGTTTATTTTCTGAACGCGAACAATCCTAGTTAGTACTGTCAAAGGTCACAGCAAAGAGGAAATCTATGGTCACAGATACTACTGTTCTGAGAAATGATGTTGACAGATCATATGATAATAGTTTTGTTTGTGTGGTTGCTGGTTTGTAAAATAATCGTAAACGTAAAATAAAAAATAAAATAATTGGATGTTGTGTCTTGTGTCCTGATAATCGTGAGATGGTCGTGGTGGTGATTTTCAATGTGAGATTGCCAGGAAGGATATGTCGTCGTCGAGTCGTTTTCGATGGTTTAAGTGCGAATATGAACCAACAAGAACACAGGACGATATTAGTCTGGAATGGACTCGATATTAGTATTTTTTTGCTCTCGGGAGTTTTGCTGTTCGAGCAGGTATGAGAAAATCTACTAGGTGAGTCGATTTTCAACTTTGTGTATGTTGTGTACCTATTTATTGTCTGCTAATTTTGTATCTACCCGCTAGGGCCTTATTTTCAAATTGAAGGAAGGGGGACGTTCTATCATTCCCCTCATGTTTCTCTCCGTCTCTCGTGATCCATGGAGATAATCACCCCACAGTTCTCTCAGTAAACTTTAAAATATAAGGCTCCTGTACATATTACATTCACCTCTATTAGTTTCCATAACCTATTTCAATTCATATTCATTCTGTGACAAATTTTTATCAGGATATTCGTCTCTGAAACATTCTGGCATGACTGTCTTGTTTTGACTTTAGTAAATGACGAATTGGGGATTTCCTGGGATTCCGCAGATTTCACTTGCTTCCCAGTGGCGTACTCGAATTTCGAAGCATTTTATGTTCAATTTTCAAAATGAAATTTCTCGTTAATGTGAAGACTTAGGAAAAATCAAATATTTTAGTAATTTTTGTTAGACTCTCTCATATATATGTCTTGAATATATGCACTCATTTTAAAATCAGCCTGTATTGTGCCTAAAGTCAAACTTGCATTGTGCTTATAATTTTGACAAATATTGAAGATTTTAATTCCCTGTTTTTACAAATGTATGCTTACCTGATTACTATAGTTTCCTACTGTTTTGACGAGTGTAAATACCTATGTATAATGACATGAAATATATTGAGTATTGAGTATTGGGAGATGTCAGAGACGTACTACGAAAAAGTTTGAGGGAATAAAGACGTCTCTATCCTCAAAAACGTACCACCCTGTGGATTTTAAGAATCTTTGAAATGCTTCATGAGTGGATCTTCTAGAAAATATTGACCAAACCAAATTTGATGATATCTTCAGAAGTGTGCGAGATATTTCAATTAATATATATAAAAACATAATCGAACTTTGACCCTCTGTATCTCCGCTACTGACCGAGATCTGACTCATATTTATTCACACTTTTTTGTTCAAGATCTAGGTATCACCCATTTCAGTTTGAACCTTGAAACCTGGATCACCCTGTATAGAGTACGGTATTTTTGGAAAGCTCTTCGAAAGTTCTTTCCAATGGAAAGGAAATTCATTCTTTTTGCTGCTTCCTGTATATTTTTGCAGATAGTGACAATGTATCTGTTGATTCGAGAAGAAAAGAATCCTAAGTTTTTATAGGGGGTTGTATTTTATAACGTGTCACCCGGTACATATCATAATAATTTTCACTCACACTTTCTCGTTGTATATTTCCGATCTATCCAACATATTGAAGGTGTAACAGAATCCTTCATCAGTAATTATTGGTTTGAATAGAGCTGAACAAGATTGTTCGTTCATGAATGAGCAGCTTATAATATGCAGAGATTCACTTATCTAGAAAATAAAATATTCACTTATGTCCCCTTTCGAAGTCCATTTGAGTATAGTTACATTTTCCATAGTTTCGATGAAGTCAGGAAGATAAGGTTTGGTCGAACCAGTCCATAATTTAGTGTCACAAACTGATTCGACATAATCCTCTAAATACTGCCTAAAAAATATGGAAATGTCAGCAAATTAGGTTAATGATCGTGGGTTAATGAATAGGCCTGGAAACAAACGAATATAACTATTGGATAAGTCATTATCAGTTGTCAGGAGACCAGAGGCTATTCGAGAGTGCATTGAGACAGTTTTATACTGATGGTTTTATTGAATGATTTCCTCGTTAGTAGGAAGGTACCTACGCTTTATTCTCAAATTTGACATGCTCATTCGAGTTGCATATTATGTAAAGGACTTTCTACAAAGAATTGGTTCCATTGAAAATAAATTACTCAACATCTAAACCCCAACACCATGAAGTTTTGGTGATTTAAAACAACAAGAACAGATACATTTATTGATAATATGTTATCTTTATCATCTGCGAGGCGCATATTGTCGATCAAGTACAATACATTCTAATCTGTCCGTCTGCTGAAGAAACCAAGCTTTAACAACCCTACATTTGCTCAATGGATTTCAGATTCGGTGATTAAGTTGGTTAAAATATCAAACTATCTGTCTCGCAAGTTTTCGCTGAATGGGTGGGTCATAACTATTGGGAGATAGACTAAGGGCGGATTGTTTGAACTAAATGTGCCTCAATGAAGTATTGCTGTGGAAAAAGATACAAGGCATTTCAATAAAGAAGTATTGACTATAAACTCGCACCAACATTTATTCACTGACAAGAAATGTCATTTACCGGCAACAAATATCTGACAGTCCAAAGCACACTCTTCATAAATGAAATGATATTTGAAATCCCCTTCCGAGACTTTAAACTGTTCGATTGCGTTTCTTTCAAAAACAGATGAAAATGTATTTTTACAACAAGAGTAGGCACAAATATTACGTAGAAATGATGTTATCGTAATATTTTCTTATCAATATCACCGAAAGGTTTCGTCAAAAAAAGGAACCAGTCTATTTGGTTATCAGGAATCATCATTCAAATTATGCCCCAGCAGCCTCAGTACCGATTTTGATAACTATTTTTGATGAATATACAGTGAAATAATCAGCAAACGACAAAAACAAACATTGAGCTTCAGCGCCCTGTATCTTTTTCCATAGCAATATTTTATTGAGGCATATTTGATCCTAACGCCATATTTTGATTCAAACAATCCGCCCTCAGCCTATGTCCCAATAGTTATTATTCACCCTGAACATATGCGTTGTGACAAATATAAGATCATACAGTTAGTTCATTGATCTTGAAATTGAAAGGTAACATCAACTCATATTCGCATATGCAGCGGATTAGTTATACTACTATAACTACTTGTGACCAGGGTAGCCTCGTGGTTGAAGCGTCAATATTCTATCCACGTTGGACTGCCGGTAGGTGGGTTCGATTCCCACCACGACCGCAGAAAGTTTTCTGATGGCCCTAGAAAGTGTTTGGGATCACACGTTATAAGGTAAGACCCCTGTCATACTTGCTCGCACAAGTCTCTTGAAGACTTCTGAGGGTTGCTCGTAAGGGGGCAACCAAATGATGGATAAGAATAATTCCAGAACAGTTGAAATAATTCGACCGCGATGCAAACGACTACATAAGGCACTCTCTTTTTGATGTTTCATGCATCTGAGCAGCCTAGTGTTCGTTGCACTTGAGCTACTCCCAAATAGAACGCATTTTATAGCTCAGTAAAACGGTAACGATTAGGACCCAATCCGAGAAAAAATTCGGGTAGTCGGTTTGTCTGTGGTTTTATATGAAATCGGAGGTGCTGAATTCGAATCTGAATTTTGCAAACAAACTTTCCTGTAGCGTTCCGAGATATTAGCAAAAAACAGCGAAATTTTTGCACCTTTTTCGGTTTTTTGCCAGTAACTCAGAAATCATACATTATATCGAAAAGAACGCCCTACAAAAAAAGTGGAGTAGATGAAATTTCCTAGATAAAATTGTGCGGAGATAGAGCTAGTTGAAAATTGACCAAATTTGGGTACTTTTCAAAAAATCGCGTTTGTCGTCGGTTTTCGCAGATAGTTTATATTTCACGTATTACTCAGAGACATAGCATCATGCACATATTGAAAGAGCATCAAATTTCCTATCGAGCTCATGTAAAATTCGTCATTATGAAAAAAGATGAACAGCTGTTAGAGCTCTCGGACTTGGAGACGTCTTTTAGTCGTAGTTGCCACACTCATGTTCATCCTTCCAACTTATATGATTTGGATCATATGAACCTATATTCATCAAAGCTTTTGAACGTATAACTAGATCATTGTTTTGTTTTTGCATTCTGTGGGGTGGGGGACGAAAAAAATTAAAAAAATCTGTACGCTGGAATTATAGTTGTTATAATTGCCATACAATAATTCCAAATGCTATAGGGTAGTCTTTGAACATTTTGATAAGAAACTGATTAGCTATTCAAACTATAAAAATGACCTATTTTGTGATGAATGAGTATAAGAATCAATTCTCGCTCATGTGGGTTCCAAGGCGTCAAGGGAATGAGGTAGCTGATCACCTATCAAAAAAGTGCAGAGCTCACATTTGACCTTTCTGTGAGACAAGCAAATGCCATCTTATCATAGAGCTCAGAAAATGAGGATGAAGTGAAAAATCCTACTACTGTTGAGCAACTCTAGGCAAACGATATGGTGGGTTCAAGCATAACCATATGGAAGTTTGATCGCAGTAGATGACAAGTCAAGAGTTTTTTTTTTATCGATTGGAGCGCACGAAAGGGAATCCCTATAATGTTCAAGGAACATCGTGCGTTCCTAAGGAGGATAGGGACAGGAGGTAGGTATTGGAATTTTTTTTGAACTTTTGGAGATTATATGTTGTTGGGAATACTTCCACAGGCAATGAATTCCAGAGCCTAGCCGTTCTATGAATGAAGGAGTCTTGATAAAGTGCTGTTCGACATCTTTCGAGGTCGACAACGAAAGGATGTGCTGACTGGGCTTGTCTAGTTCGTCTGATTGGTATTGCTAGTGAAGGGATGATAGCAGAGATTTCCGAAGAACATTTCCCGTGGAAGTATCGATAGAAAAGTGACAGGTCGCCGACCTTTCTACGGTGTTCCAATGATGTCAAAGAGTGAGTGAGTGTGGCGTCACCCACCAGGCGAATGGCTCTTCTCTGGATGGAATCTAAGAGCATCAGCGTATGTTTTGGTGCTGAACCCCATATGTGGGAACAGTATTCTAGAACAGGCGCTTTGTAAATCATGAGAAGCTGTTGAGGTGTAAAGTAGCTTTTCGCGCGGAACAAGAATCCGAGTTTTTGTGAAGCAGCTTTGCGATGGATCTGACATGATTATCCCATGAAAGAGTGTTGCTGATGGAAATACCGAGCATAGATATGGTGGGCTTGGTGCGGATGGTGGAGCCAGACATTACGATATCGGGCATACTGAGTTCTGCCATTCTAGAGAAAATGCAGGCTTGAGTTTTGGTGGCGTTGAATTCGACTTGGTTGTTTGTCCCCCAGGCTGTGATTTCAGCAAGATCTTCATTGACAGCATTGACCTGCCCGCGCCGTGAGTTCTTAGTTTCCTGGGAAGAAATGGGAATTCTGGAAGAGAACGCAGTATGGAGGGTACTATCATCTGCAAAGCTGTGGATGGGGCAAGTTGTTACTCCCAACAGATCATTGATATGAAGCAGGAATAATGCTGGTGCCAAAATTGATCCTTGTGGAACGCCGGAATTGATGCCAATAGTATCAGACGATACACCCTCCACCACCACGTGAAGCGATCTGCCTGAAAGAAAACTCGATAAGAGATGGCATAGCTGAGGTGGTAAGCCGTATGATGGTAGTTTGTGGAGGAGTCCTTCGTGCCAAACACGGTCGAATGCTTTCGATATGTCCAACGCGACAGCTAGAGATTCCCCGTGTTTTTCTATTGAAGTTCGCCATAAATGGGTGACGTAGGCAAGTAGATCTTCAGTAGATCTTCGGTGGCGATAGCCGTATTGTCTATCATTGATGATTCCTGAGTTCTCCAGATATTTGATAAGCTCAATATTGATGGCTTTCTCCATCACTTTGGAGATTACTGATAACAGGGCAATAGGCCTGTAGTTGTTGGGCAGGTTCTTGTTCCCTTTTTTGGGGATTGGTTGGACTCTTGCTGTCTTCCAGCATGATGGAAAAATACCCGACCTGTACTAGATGGTAAACAACTTGCAGAGAATCGGTGTTAATTCTGGTGCACATTTTTTGAGGATAATGGGTGGAATTCCGTCAGGACCGTTAGCCTTATTCGTTTTGAGACCAAGCAAAATTCGTCTGATAGTGCGTTGACGGAAGACGATTTCGGGCATTCGACTCTCAACGGGTGGAATGTCTGGCGGCAGTTTTCCTTGGGAATCTAAAGTAGAGTTTGCTGCGAACATCTCTGCAAAAATATTCGCTTTCTCCTGCGATGTTGTTGCTAATGTGCCGTCGGATTTGGACAGTGGTGGAAATGAACTATTAGTGAAATTTCTTTCGACCGCTTAGCAAGGGACCAAAACGAACGGGAGCCATTGGGGCAATCTATGAGTTTCGATCTTATCTTGGCATTGTATGTTTCTTTCGAAGCATCTATTGTTTGGCTGCAGATATTCCTGGCATCAACGTGTTCTGCTCTAGTCGCGAGGTTAGGGTTTTTGCGCCAGCGATGGTAGGCTGTTTGTTTCAAGGCAACAGTTCTAGAACAGTTTTTGTTGAACCAGGGTTTCGAAGGTGATGATCTTTTCGAAAAATGCGGTATGTAAATGTCCATTCCGAGCATGATGATCTCGGATATATCTGCAGCACACTGTGAATGGTCCTCAGAGTCAAAGCATACTCTATGCCAAGGAAACTCGGAGAAAAACATGCGGAGACCGTCCCAATCTCCTGAATTGTAATGCCATATAAGACGTGGGGGTGCCGGAGCAGTTGATGGAATGAAAAATGGGCAGGTTGTGGAGATGAGTGTGTGGTCAGAATTGCCAAGTGGAGCTCGTACATCTATGGTGTATGAGTTACATGCTTACAGAGGTAAGAATTCTGAATGTCGATTTCAATAGCTAAGGGTTGCGCAAGATGACATCGTAGGAATATTATAACATGATGTCGTAGGGACATCGAAATGAAGCTTATTAGTATTATCATTGATTCGAATATCTAACAGGTGTCGCTGTATGATACCGAAGTACTTAAAGCTGAAAAAGAGATATCATGAAACTTCTGAATCCCGTTCCTATTGATTTTAATATCCTTGAGATGTTTAAATTTTGCCTGTGTTGCCTGGGTAGCTAACAATACAATACTATATGTCATTGAGGTCTATATTTGGCAGCTGTGTAGTTGGGTAATTTTATGATTCGTGTTGTAATGACGAATTCAGAGGAGAATTCACTCGTTTTTTGAACTCAAAGCTCCTGGAGAAAAGGGATTGAAAATCATTTTTCATATCAATTCAACTCTTAAAAATTATCACAAAAACAATGATTTTGATATAACCAATATACTCACTCCTCTTCGGTTAGATTTTCATTCAGGAATAATTTCCTGGCGACACCCATGTGACTGTATTTGCTTTGTATTGACTTGCTTTCGGAACAAATGGTAACCGCAGGAAATGGTATCGAGTAAATGGGAGTGTCTCTGGTGGCGAAGCTGACAATTATGGGACTTTGAAGCCATCTTTGATAAACTATAGTTATTGTGAATATGCACACTGCTAGTGTACACCCAAACACGATGAACCACCAAAATCTAGAGAAAAAAACATTAAACCCAGCGGTTTATTCAATGACTATACAGGGTGTTCCAAAATTATTCTACCAAACTTCACCAGCGGCTTTTACTACCGAAAATAGGAAGAAAACTCTCGATGAACATGAGTCGAGAAATGTCTCCTAAGGGAGATACGCCCCTCTGAGAGGGGGCTTCTGAAGATGATATTTCTTGAGTATTTTCGAAACTCCTTGTGTTAAAAAGATGCAATTTGGTACAAGAACTTAACTTTCCATGCCCGATGCAGTGGAAATAAAATCATTTCAAGATTTTAATCAGGAGTGTATAATACAGGGTGGGAAAACATTAGATATGGCTCAAAATTCTTTGTATGCATAATTTTCGACAATTCAATCTCGGATTATGATATTTCACACCTCCTCACAAAAAAAGGTACTCTTGTTCCGTGACGATCAGATGTATTATTATCGAGTGAAAGCAATTTTAAAATATTATTACATCTTAGATAGCATGCATAACATTGCAATGAGGCGTAGTGGAAATAATTTTATTTCATTTTTCGCGCTTTTATGAGATTGTTTGGTGAAAAGAAAGTATTTGATTTTGTTATAGCCATAATGATTTGAAAATTGGCAACGTTATGCATAAGATGTGAGTGCATCAATATTTTTAAATCGATTCCACTCGAAAATGATCGATCGATCGAGACGTTACCACCGATACAACAAGGCCTGTATGCTCGTGGGTGACGTCACTCAGGGAGGCCTAACCAGCGGCTCGAAACGACAAGCGCTTATAGCGCTATAAGGCGACCGCGTATTTCGATTTCAGTTTTAGATCATCATTGAGCCAATTTTGCTGTTTTTTGAAGGGCTTCCGGTTAAAAAAGGATGCCAGTCGTCAACTGAGCCCTTCTTCGCACCCCATTCGATTTTATTATGGAAAAACGAAGTTTTAAAGCAAAAACCAGGATAAAACACGAATATCCACCTACAGCAACCCATTCGAATTAAATATATTGGCAAAAATTGTGATGAAGGTAAACTTCACACCTGCTTATACAGAGTCCGCAGAACATAAACTTATCGTGAGATTGATCGAAAGAAAATTGTGGAAAATGTATTTCATTTTGATTGACATGCCGTTTGTTACAATTACCTATATTTATCTCGGAGAATTCCTATTACCTGAAAAAATAACCAGTGAGTGTTTTCAATTTTCTGTTGTTGGATTTTTCACCCAAGTGGATCGTTACACTTGAAACCGTGATTTTCAAGGGTAAAACTGCATTTACCATGCGATGGTTTTTTTTTGAAAATTTTTTTCGCTACTCACGTATTTTTGTCTGATAAACCGAATTTTATAATGAAAATGTGAACAAACCACTATTTATTGAGATATTTCAAGAAAAAGTTCGAAATTTCGCCTTCTTTCTCCCCTTGTGTTGGGGGCATTTGAAGCTACTTGCTCTCATTTTGTCATTGGACACTTTATATACTCATAATGTACTTCGATGGCACATTCTTATATAGAAAATTCAACAGGAAATATGATTTTCATGGCGAGTTTTTCATATTTAGTGAACAAGCATTCCAGATGGCGACCATTTAATCAATAGTCAATCAAAATACGAGATGTCAAATGTCAATAGATTGCTTTCGAATGACATTACACACGCCATTATTTTGAATGATATTCTTCCTTCTTTTCACTAAATATGGATTAATCTCAAGAAAATCATATTTATAGTTGAATTATATATAAATTGTCCAATATGATGAAAAAAGAAGGGAAATTTGTTCTAAATGCCATCCAGAAGACATGTGAAAAAGAAGGTGAAATTTGGAACTTTTTAGTCAAATATCTTCATGATAAATATCATGATAAATGCAGTTTTACCTTTTTGAGTAGAGTGTTTGTAGTTCATGTTGATATAATAGTTGCAATTTGATCATTGGAATGAATTCTGCATTCATTGCCACGAGGCAAATGACCGTTTTCAGAAAGAAATTCGAGAATGAGAATTAAAAATGCCCGTTTATTATGAACATTTAAGAAAGTTTCCTCGAATTCAGAGATGATTTTGTTGACTATAATATACGAATACAAAACTAACTGCACAATCAAAGCTTTTCTATTTTTCCTCTACTTATACTTTTTATGAGAGAGTAATTGTCTTTTATTATCAATTCATCATTGTAAATTATGCTCTGTTTACTACTGAACTTAGATGGAGTAAAATCCTCGCGGTGAATTGCATGTACCCACATTTTTGATAGCTCCTCGTCCAACGGGAAACTAAAAGCACGAACTTTTGAACCACCCACATAATTCCCCCGACAAAAGGGAACACAACACTTGAAAGGCATTGTCATTTCGCCGATCACAACACAAAATATTTCACAAAACATTAATTTTTCCGCCAATTATTTTGATGAATAAACAACATAAGAATTTGGGATCGTTTCAAAAACATACGTGAATCACCGATGAATTAACACGAACTGACGAGTTAGTCGACAAGCGATAAAATAAAACACTGGCCTTTCTTGGTGACCGTGACGTGAGAGAGCTGTTTACGTCAGAGTCTGCTGGCCTTGTTGTATCGGTGGTAACGAACAAGAGCAACTTCTTGATGTGAAACAGAACAGATTAAATTGTCAAAATATATGCATACGAAAAAGTTTGATTGATATTTAATGTAGTCCCACCCTGTATTATACACTCCTGAACGAAACTTTGAAATGATTTTATGTTCACCGCATTGGGCATGGAAAGTACAGTTCTTGTTGCATCATTTTATCACGTAGCGTTTTGGAAATATTCAAGAAATGACATCTTCAGGAGATCTCTTTCAGGGGGCCGTAGCTCCCTTAGGAGACAATTCTCGACTCATGTTCATTGAGCCTTTTCTCCCTATTTCTGGTCGAAGAAGCCGCTGGGGCAGTTTGGCAGGCTAATTTCGGGACAGCCTGTATAGTATCTACACTCAATAAATATCCCAAATGCTCAAAGTGGAATGAAATGTTAATATACAGGCGGGTGAATCATCAGGAGACTAACATAGCCAAATGGTGAATAGGAGAAATCAAGACGTTGATGTATATATGAACAATTTTTTTGAACGTCCATATCGAAAATATGATATTATTTGGAATTGCCATGGAACTTTGATGGCCGATATTTCAGAAATGATTCATCATAATTGGCGGAAATTCGACAGCGACGTTTCTCTCCCGAAACTATTGAAGATGGCATATTATTCTGAAAAAATATCCAGATCCGGACTGTAATGTCAAAAAAATTTCCTTTGTGATCACTTTCAATCGAAAATTTTCATCAGATTTGGAAATACCAGGCAGAATGCCATTAATACTGCTCTTCAATTGGCACGGCACACTTTGACCGGTTCAATACAAAAATATGAAACAAAATCGTTCGATTGAATTTTCAATTTTGACCTGACTGTTAACTCACAACTGGATTTATTCAATTCGATTTTTTGTACATTTTTGTTGGATAGGAATTGACAGAAGAGTAGTTGGGGAAAAAGCATGTTATTTTTAATCGAAATTCTAGAGTGCTGAAATCGTTTCATCGAAAAAACATAGAAATGCCAAAATATACAGGTTATCCTATTTGGAATTTTGAATCTGATGTCACGTGGTCAAAACAAAAGAGCTTATTGAGTCAAAAAATATGAACAAAGCTGCGCTAATTGATGGACAACATATGGCAGAGTGGAATAATATCAAAATCATAGGAAAGGAAGATAACAACCAAAAAAGAAAAATCAAGAAATCCGCTTGCATTCTTCTAAACGGAGACAATAGCATTGCTTCCTGTTCAGTTGATATAGATAGAACATGGTATTCACTACTGAAAACTGAACATGAAAATGGTAGATTCAAGATCAATTAATGAAAACATCCTGTAACTCATTTGTAGACTAAAATCACTCATTCATATGCCAACATCAGTATGACACTGAAAAGTGTCGAACTATACGCAGCACAACTTTCAAAGAAACATAATTTGCATTTACATGTTGAGAACGGTAGCAGAATCGGTCCCAAAACGTCCAAAGATAAGTAAAAATTCGATATTTTTTCAATATATCTATATTTCTTTCTTTCGAACATTTTTTCAAACAAATTGTCACTGACAAGCTACTGGATTTTCCTTTTAGACTCCCTGATAGAAAAATTTGTTAAACGCAATGACATTTTGGGGCAAATCATCTGATTTGTCCCTCTACAAATATATTGGAATAATACGAGTACTTTTATTTTATAGAAACGAGAAGAGAAAATCCCAAAGAATCAAGTAAAATGAACTCTATAAAAAATCAGCTTATCTTGCATATCTACGTAAAAAGCTAGATTCACTGTGGAAGTACAGAAAATAACAGAATTAGGAGAAACGAAAATAACAGAAGTCTGAACAAAATATCACATTTTTCACAATAAATGCTCGAAATGTTGTCCATTACATTCTAAAAATTTCGAAATATGCCTTCGCACGCCACTCGTGGTTGCCTTTTGAATTTCAGCTGGATCCAGATCTTCAATACACCGCACTATTCGCCATCGCAGTTCTTCTTTGGTATAGGCACTGGAGTACTGTACACCCTTTCTTTCAAAACACCCCATGAAAAAAAGTCAAGCGGCGTGAGATCGGGTGATCTGGGAGGCCAGTCCCACAGACCTAAACGGCCAAACCAACGATCGTCAAACATTTCGTTAAGTTTCCTGGAAACTTCCTGAGTTGAATGAGCTGGTACCCCGTCCCGTTGGAACCATGAATTCCTTCATTCCTCTAAAGGCAAATTTTCGAGGAAATCTGTAACAGTCGTCCTCAATATTTGCAAATATCTCTCAGCATTCAGTGTGCCAACGTGAATGAAAAAGGTGATTTTATTATTTTTCAAAATACAGAAAACTTTCAGGTCAAATTTTACTTTTGTCATATGAGGATTATGATCAGCCCAAAAATGCTTATTCCTTCTATTGAAAATCCCATCCCTCGTGAATTTTGATTCGTCGCTCCAAATTATTTTCGACAAGAATTTCGGATCCTCTTGCGGGTATGTATTGAAAGGGCTTCGCAAAAATGCACTCTCCGCTCGAAGTCTTCTACTTTGAGAGCTTGAACTTTACTGAATTTATACGGATGCATATTGTGATTCCGCAAAATTCTTTGTACTGAAGCATGTGAAACACCCAAATCTTTTTATGCACTAAGAATGGATGCTCCTGGATATGCATGAAACTATGCCAAAACGTCAACAATATTGTCTTCATTCGTAGTAACAGGTTTTGGTGATGTTGCAGGCGCTTTTAACTTTGAGCCATAGTTGATAATAGTTATTTATTATACAAGGGAAAAAAGTAGTAGATTTTAGCTCCAGGTTGTGTTGTCTCCCGACGCGTAGCGGAGGGAGACAAAAAACCGTGAGCTAAAATCTAATATTTTTCCCGTGTATAATGCACTATTTTTTTCTGTGACAGGAGGAAGGACGAATCAACATTGAGAAGATATTACATTATTTCAAAATGTGAAAATTATCGACGTGAAATTTCGAGTTTTTAACAGTAGGGACACCTGCGTTTTATAGACACCTTTATCATTCTTTTGAAGTAATCAAATATCTGATGTCACTTCTGTCAGTTCAATTCTGTGATTTGATTTTGGAAAATTGCGAATTCAGTAGTTGTTCAGTAATATACGAAACCGCGAAGTCGAACGGAAGATAAAAGGACTTGCAGTTCTTTCTCGGAGACGGTATTATTGACTCATTTTTCGGAACTATAGCACAACAAGAGCCATTAACAGAGTATATATATGTGATACATATCCGGGAAAAAAGTACTCACTTTTTTCCCATGGGAAAAAAGTAATTTATGAAAAGAGATATTTTATAACCTGCCAACAGAGATGAAGTGCCAAACTTTTTTCCCGTCAAAGAAACAACATTTTTTATAATATCACAAACTTCCTTTCGTTGATCACATTGTCCGTGTATCATAAATAACTTCATGAGAACTTCGTTTGGTTTGAATAATCGATATTTGCGTTCATTCTGGGAGATTTTTTGAAATACTGCCAATAAGAATTATTCATTAATGTCACCCAACTGTCATCAGTTTGATATTTCCATGGCTATCTAAAATTAACTTCTTCATAAAATTATATTTTCCTCAAAAGCGGCTTTACTAAGGAAACTTGATGATTCAGGTATACGGACATGCTATGTCATCTAGTAACATTTTTCTTCGTCCTTCAATTCATTAGTGAAAAACAGTAGGTTCCATTTGAAAATATGGGTAGATACCACAACGATGGTATACTTTCGAATGACGTCAGCAAACCAATATGGTACTATTTGAAATCATGGACTCTTGAGTGAAGATATGTTTTGTTTTACTTTTTTGGCACGTGTTTCTAATCACATTACAATTCTAATCGCAAATGCGATCGTGAGGCATTTGCTTATTCGTAATTATTTTAGGAAGTTCATGGATCTCTATATATACATTGATGAATACATCAATAGAATTCGTGTTCTAACAAATAAAATATCAACTATCGAGTAGGTATCATTCGATTTGGATAATTTACGAAAATTTCAAAATGTTATGATATTTTATTGATTATTTCAAATATGGAAAAAAGTGCCGTAAAGAGAGCGAATATATCAATAGTATGGAAAAAAAACTTTTCTTTTCAACAACAAAAAAACTCATTCTCATATAAAAATGTGGAGTACTTACTCAAGAAGAGTTAATCTCCTTGTGATTTGATTGAATTGGTATGTGACATATGATTGTTTTTCATGCACATTCACGATAGTAAAATATCTTACGAATTTCAGAGAGTTACCTCCCTACGATTATTAAACTTTCAAGAATATTTTAAGAAAGAAACGTTCTTCATCGCTTTCACCCTGAATAATTTATTGCACGTTGTTTGTGGACATCCTGTATATCTAACTGTTATGACAGCTCTGAATTGCTTTATATCAAAACAACACCCTTTTTCTACACATCTTCTCCTAATTCACAGAGTGGTTCCATAATTGAGTCGATAAATAAAGTGGGTAATATGACAAAATGAAGCTGAAATGCATACATTGAGTATGTGAAAAAATGATTTGGAAAATATCTTGTGAGATATACAGATTGAGAAAGGAAGTATATATATTTTGCGTGCATGAAGTTCAAAACATTTTAAAATTTCACTATTCTCAGTATTTCAATTTCTCGAAGGTGAAACTGATTGACCAAAAAATACGTATGATTACCAGACATATAAATCATGGATTATTATTTGTTCATGAATCATGAAACATGTCAAGGACTCTTCAAAAAACTTATTTATGGGTATATAATTTTATGACTTTGTATTCAACCTTATAGAGAAATGAGTCTTTGATTATTACACAATCAACTCACCTCTCAAAGTAAGTTCTCTTCTCCCCGAAATACTTGAATCCATGTATACTCGTACAAGTACAATACTCTCTAAAATAATTTCTCACACTCTTTATGAAAGATCGTTTTTCAGTTTTATCGTTCTTCATTTTCTACAAAACTACAGGAAGGAGCGAAATATCCCTTTACTTTTATAGCAACCGAAAGGGTGCAGCCCTATTTATTTAATTGAAGTTTATCTGGTGAACGAAACGCTTCTGCACGAAATGAACAGTTTATTGTCAAAATATAATTTCATCATGCATAATGAGATATGGTCCTTGGCTGCGAGAGAATCTAAAATAGATACATACGATCAATTAACTAAGCATTTTGTTCTCATGTTCGAAAATAGGTTTACTAGAGACATGAAGCAACTATCACATTATTCATAGCGGAAAAGCATTAGTTCGCGAGTTTATATAATTGAATTTTACATTGTCAAATATGGGGAGGGAAGATTCCTGAACCTCATTCCAGTTTCCCAAATTTGAACTTCCAGTATATTATGTTTCCGTACAATTTATTCAAGTTCACAGACATTAGTTCTACAAAGTTGCAAAATGCTATAATTACCTACGCAAAACTACCAATATTATGTATGTATCTGTAATTGTTTTGTTCATCCATTGTTTTTTATAGAACCTATCATATTTTGTACTGTACTGTGATATTCTTTAGAGACAGTTATATCCTAGTAGGGACCTGATTTCAAAAAATATGAAGTTGAGACTGTGTGAATCTCTCATTTTTTCGAGACTGTCCTACTGTGACTGTATTTATGGTCCTGCCCTACTAGATACAGATGCTACAAGGCTACAGAGGATACAAAATAGCTGCATACGATTTTCATACGGCATCCGTAAGTATGACCATATTAGTACATCCTTCCAAGATTCAGGTTGGCTGAAATTGAAGCTGTGCAGGGAGATGCATATGCTAACTCTCACCCATAAAACATTAAAAACTGGATACCCGCCTTACCTACGTAGAAAATTGGTCCCACTTTCACGTAATAATTCCTCCCGTAACAAACATATTCTACTCATTCCCAAACACCACACAGCACAATTCACCCGTTGCTTCTCTTATAATGCTTCTAAATTATATAATACTCTTCCCTCAGAAATAAAAGAATTCACTTTAAAAAATTTCAAGAAGAGATTGAAAGCATTGTTTCTTACAAGGGAATGATATAATGGTTACGAAGCTAGTTTCTCTCCAGGCGTGACGATATGTTATGTATGCATTACTTGGTTTATCATCTTCATTGATATTATCAACTTTTATTATTATCATTATCATCATTATTTCACCACTATTATCACCATTATTAATATATTTATATTCTAATCGCATTTTACTGTTATAGTATAGCATATATGATTATGATCATTATTATTTTGGTTAAACTTTATGTTATTATTACCTACTCATCTTTTTTTTTTTCTTCTTGAGGATGGGTTTAAAAGCAGCTTTGATAGCTGAACCTCTCCTTTTCATCATCTTAATGTATTATATTTCTAATTTGTTTGTGTAATTTCCTTATTGATGATGAATAAAGACACATTATTATTATTATTATTATTATATTCTTCATATTATTTCTTTTTTACGAAATGGAATCTTCCACTACATAATTATATCATTGAAGCTTTGCCAATAAGAACAATATTCTTGGACAATGAAGCACAGATTGATTGATTGAATCAATATTGACAGTTTGATGCAATTCCAATAGTTACTAAGGAATAATGTAAGCCAAGCACTTCGCCACTTCGGTGTTGTGAAGTCTGCTCGACTTTGGTTTCGCTGCCCCTGTTAGAACTTTTTTCAGTATTATTTGTTCTTGTTACTAATTGAAAAAATAGTGATATATGTGCCAAGGACAAAACACTGTCTAATATAAACGAGACTGCAGGCGAGACAATAGACAGTTTTTCGCCAAGGTGCAAATACTTTTAGTAAACAGAAAAGTAACCTATTTCCAACAGAATAAAAACACTCTCATACAAAAATAATCATATTCCTAATTCTCGATTCAAAAATACTCGCAAATATCACGAAATATAGTTACATACATAGGTACTTATAAGTTAGATTATAGAGTATATAACAAGCAGAAACGAATAGTGAAAATAAACAACAAAAATACAAACATAAAAAAGAAACAAACGTAAGAAACAAACACACATACAACCACTAGAGTCCCTGTATATACCTCAGACAAGAGTCCGGACACAGCTATACTTCTGTCCTTTTCTGTTTGAAAAAAAAACGCATTGATGATTGAATAAAAGAATAAGACATATATATCGAGCTCTGTCTTTTCAATTCCCCTAGTACTGATGATTGTCAGAAACAATTTTGAGGGTTAGATTATTTGTCAAGCCGTTCATAGCCGTAGGTAGAAATGAGAAATAGGGCCATTTTAACTAGAATAATCATTAGATTTTCAAATAATGAACAACAGGGTGTTTGAATTTCGAATCGATAATTTTCATAATCAATTCCTGAGATGGCTATTGTGAATTTTCGTCATCAGATATTTCTTCACTTCATTAGATAAAAGAAAGATAATTTAAGTGTTCTACGTCACGCATATAGCCACGAAAATATTGTTGTTTTCTGTTGAGATATGAAAAAATAGAAGGTATATAATTGTTTCAATATAATTTTCTCCGATTTTCTCAATTTAATAACACTCAGCAGAAATAAAAGTGACAAATTCAAAACAACAATATATATATAATAATAATAATAATAATAATAAATGCTTTTATTGAGAGGTTACATACAAGTACAGAAAACCTAACAAGAGGCAGGATTCAATATCTGCGCATGAAAAATTCATAGCAGAGCTTGCTCTTCCATCCAACCTTGAAAATATATTCATGTTTAAACCTAACTTTGAACATACATGATGTTTAATGGAAATAAAAAAAATAGAAAAAAGTAATGCTCCAATTAATAAATTAATGATATCTACTATAAGTAAGTATAATATAGAGGTTGCAGGAAATTCACATTTTACTAATCTTGAGATAAGCGTGTGCCAATTCAAGTTCGCTTTGTGTCAAATTCCAAAATACGTGCAGTTGTTTTCGATTAAATATTGTTTTAGTTTCTTCTTGAACGTTTTGAGTGGTAGGGATTTGAATTCAATCGGTAACCGGTTATATAAGCGAACGATCTGATATGAGTAGGAGCCACGGAAAAAAGAAGTTCTGTATTTAGGCGCTGTCAGATTATTCCTAAATCTTAAGTTGAGATTGTGTACATCGGTTCTGAAAGATAACTTCCTGAATAGGTAAGGGGGTTTTCCAGTAGTAATGATCTTGTGAAAAATCGCAGCGGAATGGAGTATGCACCTAGCCTCCATAGTGAGCCAACCAAGATTCTTTAAATGCTGTGACACATGTTCCCGTCTTCTAGTGCCTGTGATAAGTCGGATGCATGAATTTTGAAGTTTTTGTAGCCGCTTTTTGTCTGATTTCAGTAGTCCCGGACCATATACTACATCTGCGTAGTTAGCATGTGATAGCACTAATGCATCACATAGCATGACTTTACTTTTCTTGTTTAGTATATTTCTACTCGAATAAACCATTTTGAGATTCATATACCCTCGCTTCAAGACATGAGAAATGTGTGTCCTGAATATATATCTATATGCCATATAAACATTGATTTTTATATTGATCTAACATTTGGGACAATGAGATGTCAAAGATTCGATTGATAAACTATTATATACACCTAATAACTATACTTATATTAAACTCATGGTACATATACTATTTAGTATAGATAATGGAAATCATAATTGCAAGATTCTTGAGATCAGTATCTAGGTACCTATACCATCTAGGATTCCTCTGATGGTGACAAGGTTCCTATACATACAGCAGTATTCATGATCATTAGTGTATTCCATTGTATTTTATTGTATTTATCACTTTGGCTGCCGAAGCAACCATCATATAAGCCTTCGAAGGGCTTGTGAAAGTTAAAGTGAAAGAGGACTTACAGTTTATAGTGGATTTAGAACCACATGTAGGTACCCGAAATGCTACCACGAACCAATTTCTCATTGAAAAATTATCTGATGGCCATCGGTCGGGTTCGAATAACCGGCAGCATAATATACAGCACAGTGCCCGTCTAAAGTCCGTTCCCCGCTTACTAATTTTTGAACCACTTGATATATCGCAACGAAATTCAAAGGGCTTCATTGGGACATAAAAACCTACTTTTTCCTGAGAAAAATTGGAGCAAAAAGTTTTAAAATGGCGGCTGAGCGCCATCTTCAATAGAACACATCGTCACATCGTCAGGTGGGCAAACCAAATGAAACAAAATATTAAAAACACCCACGGCTGTCAGTTTTGTGTCCGGACTCTTGTCTAAGGTATATACAGGGACTCTAACAACCACTAGTCAATAATGACATAGCCACCTCTGTTATAATTAACCCGGATGCACTATTCTAATGCGATATCCGCAGGGATGGGACTCACATAACGATAATGATTGTAATATATTGCATGTGGTGAAGAAAATTCAATATACACCATGGTAGTGAAAAATATCATTACCACAGGACCTTATACCCCTCGGCTGAAGCCTCTGGATATAATCTTGGTCCCTGGGTAATAATGATATTCTTTACTACTTTGGTGTATAAAAAAAACAATTTTTCGCTGTCTCTAAAAGTATCACTGTCATCGATTCTTCATCATTGAAATTCTTTCTCACATACCTCATATTGGTTATTGTAAATTCTGAAAAAAAATCACCTCATTTTTTTCAAACATTTCTCTTTCTATTCGAGTTTTAATCTCTTCACTCATCACTCATCACTGAACATAATATCAGCACAATCACCATCTGACTTTGCGATGATCTGCTTCAAAATATTTTTTTCTTCTTTCTCCTTCACTGTGGGTCCCTTATATAGCAGATAGGAGGAGGAAATTTTGAGGCTACGATTTTTTATATTGGGGAAGAAAAAACAATATGATGAGAAAAACAACAACGTACTCAATGAAACGGTTAAAAAAAACATCCCAGACATTGTAATAAACTTCAGGGGAAACGTTGATTTCTT